CATCACATATTAGTCTGGCAAATGAAGGATTAGACTGCAGTAGATCACAGATATCTTTTCTGACGTCATATATACCTCACACAATGAGGTGGCGGGGTATTTACGATCTCTTGGAACGTCATATACGTGTAACCAATCAGGTGACACTTATCGAGACTACCTATGACGCCATATGCTTATAGCCAATCAGGTGACTTTTATCCAAACTATCACAACAAAATGGACGTGCAAATGATCACAACCGGACTCACGTTAATAATGCCACCACCACCACTCGAGGAAAACCACACACACACACACACACACACACAAGCACTGGATTAAGTAAGTACACACAAATGCGTACACCCGCCTACACAAGAACGGGATGAGATACGCATGCGCACTAGACAGATGACAGTGCACATGATTCAGGGCAGAAGCACGTGGCCGGACCTACAACACGACACGAGCGTCAAGTCATGAATGAGGAACACAACAACAGGAAGATATATTTTTTTCTCTCTCCCTCCCTCCTCCCCCCTCTCTCTCTCTTCCCCTCCACATCCCCCTCTCTCTCCTCACTTAGAGAAGGGGGTTAATAAACGAGGGGGAAGAGTAGAGCAGAGGGGGGCCCCAGTGGGAAGGGAGGGGTGGGGGAGGGGTTAGGGTGAGGTTGGAGGTGGGGGGAGGGGTTAGGGTGAGGTTGGAGGTGGGGGAGGGTTAGAGGTGGAGGTTGGAGGTGGGGAGAGGGATGGGAGGTGAGGTTGGAGGTGGGAGGGTTAGGGTGGTGGAGGGCTTAGGGTGAGGGTGGGGGAGGAGCTTAGGAGGTGAGGGTGGAGGAGGAGCTTAGGAGGTGAGGTTGGAGGTGGGAGAACTAGGGTGAGGTTGGAGGTGGAGGAGGGCTTAGGGTGAGGTTGGAGGTGGGGGGAGGGTTTGGGAGTGGCGGAGGGATGGGGGTGGGGGAAGGGGGGAGGGTGATTCCGTCCTAACTGTACAAGTGAACGAGAACTACAGACCAACAATCAACGGGGCTATTTTAAGAAGGCCTCTCCTTCACTTCTTTCTCCACACCCTTGTTGAGTCTCGCTTCATGTATAGAAATTATAATATACACTATCAAAAAAGTATATCTGCACTGTCTATGTATACCTACACTGTCTATGTATACCTGTATGACAATTATCCTAAATCATCCATCTATTATCTATCTATTTATCTTCAAGCTATCACAAATAACTACAATAGACATGGTAGATATTAGGGCTCTACAGTAGACATCAGGGCTCTACGGTAGACATCAGGGCTCTACAGTAGACACCCAGGATGTTGGACAGGCAACTCTGGCATGTCCGAGACACCGAACCCTTCCTCAAAACATAAACATTTAAGCATTAAAACAAGAAAGTTTATATAATAACAACAACAGCTGTTTTAATGGAAGGATGGATGGGGGGGTGGGTTGATGAAAGCTGGGGGAGTGGGTTGATGGATGGATGGGGGTGGGTTGGTGGCTTGGGGGGTGGGTGGGTTGATAGATGGATGGGGGTGGTTGATAACCCAGGGGCAACAGGTTGATGGATGGATGGGGGGTGGAATGATGGATGGATGGGGGTGGGTTGATGGCTTGGGGGTAGGTTGATGGATAGATGGTGGGTAGGTTGATGGCTTGGGGGTGGGTTGATGGATGGATGGTGGGTGGGTTGATGGCTTGGGGCAGGGAGTAGGTTGATGGATGGATGGGGTGGGTTGATGGATGTGGATGGTGGGTAGGTTGATGGCTTGGGGGGTAGGTTGATGGATGTGGATGGGGGGTGAGTTGATGGCTTAGGGGGGTGGAGTAGGTTGATAGATGGATGGGGGTGGGTTGATGGCTTCGGGGGTGGGTTGATGGATGGATGGTGGGTAGGTTGATGGCAGGGGGTGGGTGGGTTGATAGATGTATGGGGGTGGGTTGATGGCTTCGAGGGTGGGTTGATGGATGGTGGGTAGGTTGATGGCTTGGGGGGTAGGTTGATGGATGAGGGAGGTGCAGGAGCCACTTTTGTAGACTCAACGTTTATCGTAAAAACCCAAGTCCACGATAATGAGGCATCTTGTTGCTGCTATGACACACACACACACACACACACACACACACACACACACAAGAAATGATTCTATCACCACCACTACCACACTAATAACACCACTACTATCACCACCACTACCACCACTATTAACACTACTACTATCACCACCACTACTACTACTTTTTTTTTCTTAACGTGGCCTCCAGCTTCCCCCAATAGCCACACCTTCGCCGCCATTTTATTACCTTACTACTACTACTACTAATAATAATAATAATAAAAATAATAATAAAAACAATAATGTGTTGAGTTAATAACATAAGCTACTTGATCCCCCGGGCAGACACACCATAAATTACCCTAAGCTCCAGTTCCCGGCGCAGGACTCCACTATACGAGGCGTTAATATGGTGAAAAATAGAGGGTTGTGAAACACCCTTCTTGGTAAAGCATTCGTCGCCCTCCTCATGACGTCACACCCACAATGACGCAACCGCTACATATGTTATCCTTGTGTGTGTGTGTGTGTGTCGTGAGTGATGTGCGCCATATTCTGAATCTACGGGAAGACAACACAGTACCATACTTTTTAATAACTTGATACATAACAAAATTACATGAGCCTAGATTTAATAATTATTATCTTTTCTCCTTGTCCACTTTTGTGCAGGTTAGGTCACCTTAGGTTAGGTTATATATAGGGTTAGGGTTGGGTTGGGTTATTATGTAGGGTTGGGTTAAATTATGTAAAATTATGTAAAATTAGTCAAGGGCGGATTAACCTGACGAAGCTCACACCAAAATAATGCTACACACATTATTTGTCTAAACGAGTAATCAAATAAAGCTGACAAGATTACTTAATATTCGTAGATGACGATTGACCTTTATAAACGATTGTTTTAATAACCTTCTGTTGTCTTAATAACCCCCAAAAATATTTGTTTTGAACACCATGGATCAATTAAGGACCTACCGATGACGTGAACAATGCGCGAGTATATATTGTAAATGTTCGAATGGCGCTCATAGACTCGCTGTGTCGTTTGATGTTCCCTTAGTTTATTCTTCCTGTTGGACACGAGCCTGACCAACCTATTGGATCCTGCCCCTGAATGTAGTGGAGAAACATAAGGGGGGGGGAAGGGAGGGGAGAAGGGAGGGGGAAGAGTAAAGAATACAGGAGAGAGATAACATGGGACAGGATAAAGAGATGTCTCCACAAGAACTAAAGCCCCCAGTTTCCCAAAGCAACTGTACATTAAATGGTATAAAAATATCTATGAACAACTTATGCGGTTTATAGTTTTACATCATTCATTCTCTCTTTCTCTTTATTCTCTCTATCTCTCTCTTCATTCTCTCTCTCTTAGTTTCTTCTTGTGTTAGTCCATCCCTCTCTCTCTCTCTCTTTTACTACGTTCTTTTATTATGTGGAGACAATACCCACAGGAATGTTCACACGGATCGTCCTTACTGTCATATACTGCATATTTAGGTTATACACACCACCTATATGATACTGTCACCACCTGTATGCTTATCTTCCTCCCAACACACACACACACCAATAGAAAAGTGAGCTGAAAAGTCTGAAGTGTTCTTAGTGTGCTGTGGGAGAAAGTCTCAACTCTTGTTAGTGTACAGTAAAAGCCTTGGACGACACGAAGCTCCGATAGTGTTGACATTTTCTGGGAGTAAGTGGGCATAAATTGTCCCAAGCCCAACAAGCTCTCTCTCTCTCTCTCTCTCTCACTCACACTCACACTCACACACACACACACACACACACACACACACACACACACACACACACACACACAATATATAAATAACGACAGACATAAGAAGCAGAAGTAATGTAATGTGTAGATAAAGCGAAGGGAGGAAGATTATTAAAGGGAAAATGAAGCAAACAGATAGGCCGGCACTACATTCGACTGGTGCCACTTCCTTAATTGTAAAGTCAGGTCTCTATTCGTGGTTAGGTTAGACTAAGTTGGGTTTTGGCTTAGTTAGGTTAGGTTAAGCTTTGGTTTAGTTGGGTTGGGTCAGCTTAGGTTAGGTTAAGTCGGGTTTTGGTTTGGTTAGGTTAAGGTTTGGATTAGTTGGGTTGGGTCAGGTTAGTATGTCGTTCCATGTCTAGACTCAACAGGTCAGTACAGTAGCCATCATCGTCCACAAACAGAGAGTGAGAACAGTGACTCCTCAACCTTCAACAACTGGGAAGTGTTATTTTAAGTCGCTGACAGCTGGACCACTCTCGGACCAGGATAGACCGGGCCTTGGAGGGCCTCGAGGACCAGAATAGGATAATGGACCAAGATGGACCTTGAAGAACCGGTAGATGACGAAGGATCAAGCAGGACCTTAAAGAACCGGTAGATGACGATGGATCAAGCTGGACCTTAAAGAACCGGTAGATGACGATGGATCAAGCTGGACCTTAAAGAACCGGTAGATGACGATGGATCAACAGGACCTTAAAGAACCGGTAGATGACGGTGGATCAAGCTGGACCTTAAAGAACCGGAAGATGACGATGGGTCAACAGGACCTTAAAGAACCGGTAGATGACGATGGGTCAACAGGACCTTAAAGAAGCAGATAACTTCGAAGAATCAAGCAAGACCGTGAGAAACATTTTTAACCTGAAGACCAGTGGATGACATGGGGGGAGGGGGGTGAGAGAGGGGGGTCCTGCAGGATACCCCAGACTTGGGACACCCGCATGAGAAACCGGACTTAGCAATAATTAGTAAAACAAAACAAAAGCAAGAGTTCGACATCATCATCATCATCCTGTCCCAAGTTATCTTTTACTGAGTGTGTGTGTGTGTGTGTTTACAGTAGTCGTTCACCCTTGAAAGATATTTTAGCGGTACACCTACCACAGGTTGGTAGTGATGAAAGAGTTACCATAACTGGTGTCACGTAGCGAGTTATCAGTGAGTGTGTGTGTTGCTGGTGCTCTCTCTCTCACTCACCAGAAGGACCACAGTGACGCACCTCCTCTTGCGTTAAAGGCGCCCACACTCTCACGCTGAGGTGATATGCGTGTTTTAACCATCTATATCTACGTCACGGCCTCAATGATCGGGCACCCACGTGTATAGGATGGCTACCAACGCCTCCTGCCCACAACATGTTTGGGAGATGGTTAAGTGAGGGTCAGAGGTTAGGTTAGGAGCCGTCCTGGGAAGCCGTTCTGGGAAGCGTCGTGAGGGAGTGAGTCATAGGGTCACACGTCACTCCCTGTCTCACACTTGGCCAGCGTCACAGTGCTACTTGTGCCCCCCACGTTCACAAGGGCCCCGTCCCGCCCCGCCAAGCTTAAGCTCTACGCCCCCCACGCACGCCTCGCAGTGACCCAGTACAGTACCGAAGTGCATCATTTGACACGGTCAACTCAGAAATCTATATTTTTAGTGCGCCAAGTGACAGTGGTATTGTTGTTTTTAAGTAGTGGTGTCATCATTACTGGCCTGTGTCAGTCAGTCCTCTTGTGGATGATAATCTTCCTCGTAAGCCTAAACGGGCTGTGTTGCAGCGTGTGATAATACCAGCTAACACAAGGACAGTACAAGGTGTTAAAATTAGAGTTGTGCACACACGTACTGTAGAGTGAGAGGAAGCCTAAGATAATGACAGATATGTGAGGTGACTGGGCTTCCCTGGGTCAGCGCTGAGTATGCCATCTGCACCACATAATCCCCGGGGCCCCACATCCCCCTGGAGGAGAGATGTGGTGGTGGTGGTGGTGTACCTCTGGGTAACTCTCCTGTGTGTCTCCGGCGCCTGGGAGAAGGAGGAGGAGGACAACCGGGTATGGACTGAGAGAACCCACCTCGCCCTGGACACCCCGGCTATCCCCTCCTGCGATGATCACAATCAACACAACAAATGTTTCCACAAAGCTCCCCAACCCATGGTGAGTCCCCCCCCCCCTTACTGGTCACTCAGCTGTTATACATGTCCTGTTCCTCAATTTTACGCTACTGTTACTCATTCATACTGCTGTCACTCAGCTGTACTCAAGTGTTACTCATCTCTCAGGCGGTACATACATGTGACTCAAGGAACACACTGCATTACTCAACTCTAAAAGGGTATTGTACTCGACACTATACAGTAAGTCCACTTTACACTGTACACGTCTACCTGACACTGTACACGTCTACCTGGCACTGTACCCGTCTACCTGACACAGATGTACACTGGACTAACTCAACTGTACATGAGTAACGTACATCTGTAGAGAGTTTCCGGTGTTTATCAGCCAATAGATATACTTTATATGATGACTGTACACACTGTATGGTGATGGTATAGTGACGTTATACAGTATAGTACCTGTATATGGTGTTATAAATTTATGGTGATACTAGCAACACAATACACCACAATACACCATCATACACCATAGCTACAGTGTATATCGTGGCCATGTGGTGGTGTGCGTGCCTCTGCTATGACTGTGTGCGTCTCAATGTTGCGTGTGCGTCTTAATGTACACAGGGTGTCGGATAAAGTTACCTACACTGGTAACACGATGCTCCACAGTAGTCAAGGAGATGGACATGTGTGCTGGTGTCAGTGATGATGTCAGTGGTGGTGGTGGTGGTGTCAGTGGTGAAGGTGTCAGTGGTGGTGGCGGTATCAGTGGTGGTGGTGGTGTCAGTGGTGGTAAGTGGTGGTGGTGTCAGTGGTGGTGGTGGTGTCAGTGGTGGTGGTAGTGTCGGTGGTGGCGGTGGTGTCGTGTGGTGTCGGTGGTGGTGTCAGTGGTGGTGGTGGTGGTGTCAGTGGTGGTGGTGATGTCGGGGTGGTGGTGGTGTCAGTGTGGTGGTGGTGTCAGTGGTGGTGTGATGTCAAGTATGGTGTCAGTGATGACAGTGGTGGTGGTGGTGTCAGTAATGATATCAAGTGGTAGTGGTGATGTCAAGTGGTGGTGTCAGTGATGACAAGTTGTGGTGGTGGTGTCAGCGTAATGATGTCAAGTGGTGGTGTCAGTGATGACAAGTTGTGGTGGTGGTGTCAGTAATGATGTTAAGTGGTGGTGTCAGTGATAACAAGTGGGTGGTGGTGGTGTCAGTAATGATATCAAGTGGTAGTGGTGATGTCAAGTGGTGGTGTCAGTGATGACAAGTTGTGGTGTGGTGTCATGTGATGTCAAGTGGTGGTGTCAGTGATGACAAGTTGTGGTGGTGGTGTCAGTGATGACAAGTTGTGGTGGTGGTGTCAGTAATGATGTTAAGTGGTGGTGTCAGTCTTGTGTTTATGGCGATATTGTCAGTATTATCAATTTTTATGGTTAATATGTACGGTCGAGTGTGATAGATTGTATGTATGTATGTATGTATGTATGTATGTATGTATGTATGTATGATAGTGCAGTGAATGTACAATCAAGGGATTAACCAACACTCAAGGGATTAACCAACACTCAAGGGATTAACCAACACTCGAGGGATTAAACAGCACTCGAGGGATTAAACAGCACTCGAGGGATTAAACCACACTCGAGGGATTAAACAACACTCAAGGGATTACGTCATAATAGCTTAATTAAGTCAATGACATTCTCCTGTTAGTAAGAACTCTATCCCGTCATCAGTATTACCATGTACCAACAGCCAGTGTATAATAGGTGGATATAAGAGATTTCCCTTCTACACTGACCTGCATATATACCTACTATACCATCTAATAATCTATACCTTCTATATTCCAAAATGTCAGGCTATTTTAAAAGTATAAAAATAAAAGGACTATCCACGGGGTCAAGCACAACATGTCTTTTGTTTCCTATAATAACTGTCCACAAACATTAACTCAGAGTTGGTGATACACACACAAGGCGAGGTGTATGTTTTATGGTATTAATTATTTTAAGACATTAAGTGGTACGTATACCAATAGTACCTGGTGATGATGTTTAACCTTCTCCAAGTACTGACACCATCACTACTAGGTTGGCACAAGTTCTGGACAAGTACTGACACCATCACTACTAGGTTGGCACAAGTTTTGACACCAATACTAAGCTTTGAACAAGTACTGACACCATCACTAGGTTGGCACAAGTTCTGGACAAGTACTGACACCATCACTAGGTTGGCACAAGTTTTGCACAAGTACTGACACCATTACTAGGTTGGCACAAGTTCTGGACAAGTACTGACACCATCACTAGGTTGGCACCAGTTTTGCACAAGTACTGACACCATTACTAGGTTGACACAAGTTTTGCACAAGTACTGACACCATCACTAGATTTTGGACACCAAGACACACGTTGTAACATCATCACTACCACCATCAGGCCTGGAATGACGCTCACATATACTGCCGTGGCCGGGATGGTTTCCTCGCCTCCAGGGACGAGCATCAACATTTGGCTCACCTATGGTCACATCCTACCAACCTTACATGGACCGCCCTCACTTCCTACCAGGGTCATTACCAGTGGATCTCTCGCTGCCCAGGTAAGCCACTACAGTAATTTAACCGAAAGCACTCTTACCAGAATTATACTAAAATTAATCTAGTAGTAGTAGTGTTCAGTGAAACCTTCATATAAGGGACTTCATCTATTTAATCCATTATATGGGGGTTTTCACATATAACTGGCCCTTGATATAATGGATTTTTATCTCTATATATAATTCATTAGATAATAGCATGGCAAAGAGACCTTCCTTGGCCCGCATCACCTAAGTATTCGTGTCAAGCGTTCAGTAAATTGATCATTGTTAAAAAAATTCCATTCTCAAGCTCACTCTCGACATATAGTATTTCCACACTAACCTGGCCCTTAAGCCACGCCGCTCGTCTGTATCTACAAATAGGTGACTGGTTCAAAGAAAATGTTCGTGTAACAGCCATGCATTTATTCACACTAAATATGTTCACAATTTGTAAGCAGACCTGTTATTCTCTAAAATAGTTAAATAACTGGATTATCAAAATGCAAATGATTTCAAGGCAATATCACTTCAGAGAGAATGTTGGAAAATTCTAAATAGTTATCATAAGAGTTCGAAGTCAAAGATGAAAATTGCTTTCGAATGAAGTTTTCATATTTCTTTTTGTACCAAACATAAACAAACAAACAAACAAATGACACCAAAATATAGCACAATAGGTAGTGAACTGCAGTTTATATGGCTGTATATATCCCCAATCATTTATATAACTGATAAAATTCGATATAAATGTGCTTATATACACACAGTCCGGGGGGAGGTAGAATGTTCAAGGAAACAGCCATTGAACTTGGCGGGAATTTCGATCCTCTTGCTGCACGGCACAACAGCCAGCAGACGTCAACTGTCAACAGATGTCACACTCACAGCTGTGGTACTTAACCAACAAAAACATTTCTCACACCCACGAGCAGATTATTAAATACTTTATCCACTAACTTGGCGTTCTCTATCTTAAGTACTGCGTTGTGACAAGATTTAAATAATAATATATGCAATAAGAAGCGAAGTAGAGGTTTAACATTTTCATCCTCTGTTATCAAGTATCAAAAAAATTTGGTGCAAATGAAAGAAAATATCAGCCAATGAATGTGATGGACGAGGTATAGTTAATTTGTGTCATAGTATTCTCGAGCTCTACCGTACTGGCAGTACGAGTCAAGTGTCCAGCTGATCTGGCAGCAAAGTCCAGTGACTTCCTCTGAGCGTTTTACCTCCCTCCGGACTGCGCGCATATAAGCGCGTATTTATAATGAATTTTATCAGTTATATAAATAATTGGGGATATACACAGCCGGTTAAACTGTAGTTCATTACCCTTTGTGCTATATTTTTGGTAATATTTGTTTCTGTTTGCCTTATTGTTGGTATAAAACAAAGAAATATGAGAAGACTTCATTCGAAAGCAAATTTCATCTTTGACTTCGACCTTTTATGATATTGAAAATTTTTTAACATCCTATATGAAGTGCTAATAATGCCTTGAAATCATTCGCATTTCGAGAATCCAGTTATTTAACACTATTTTAGAGAATAGCAGGTCTACTTACAAATTGTGAACATATTTAGTGTGAATAAATGCACAGTTACACAAACATTTTCTATGAATCAATCAGCTATTTGTAGATAAAGACGAGGGGCGTGGCTTATGGGCCAGGTTAGTCTGGACAGGGTACAGTAATATAAACTACTTTAACCCAACAAATGGATGGTTTCACAGTCATGTTCGTGGTTTTGTACCTCCTCTTCCAACATTGACCACTACCCAGCCAACACCCAAGAGGATAATCCCCCACAGTCAGTGTTGGGGCGGGGACCAGCATCACCGCTACTAAACAAACAAACGTACAGACCCCACATGGTTTTCAGCTTCCAGCATCCTTCATTATACAGATTTCTATCTCGCTATCTCTCTACAAGCGTTCGCCCAGCTGATGCGGGTTCAAGATCCTGAGTTCTTTGTGTGTTGTGTGTTGTTTTGTGTGTGTGTGTGTGTGTGTGTGTGTGTGTGTGTGTGTATTTGTTTGTTTGTTTGGTAAATTTCACTTGTATCAAGTTAAAATTATATTTTTTATAGTGTATTTGTGTGTGCTGAGACCGAAATGACCTTCCTTTTTGGCGGAAATTAGCAGGTTTTTTTAGCGATTTTTTTTTCGTTTGACGTTTTCCGAGAAAAAGTGCCTAAACGACTAAGAAACACACAATAAAACACTAGAAAAACAATAACCAAACCTAACCTAACCTGACCTAACTTAACTGACTCTCACCATATGATGGAATCATCTATTTCTTACCTTATTGGCCTGGTTCTTGTTCGTCGTTGCATTCTGGGATTCTTACCCAACGCCACATATGTTGGTCTTTGCGATATTTACATTCCGTCTTGCTCTTAGTACACTTTACTGAGGTTGGAAGAACACCATGCGACCGAAAAAATGCTATAGTTTCTTCGTTTTTTTTTTCCAAAAACTCGCAATCAGCTCCATATACTTTAAGTGACACCCATCGCAGACTGCCATGGTCGGAACTGAACTTGAATTTCAAAATATGAGACCAAAAAGAATACTCGAATTTGATTGGGCCAAAAATACCGAGAATTAAACCCCAAAACATTTTAATTGGTTGCAAAAAAAAAAGAAAAGGCGTCTTTTTCGAATAATAATACCTTATTTAAATGTTTCCAAATAGCTTTTAAAAACACTGACTTCCCAAGAAAAAAATGGCGGTCACGCTACCGTCTGAAGGATGATGACCAAGCCACGTATTTATATATTCAAACACAAAGCAATAAGACCTGGCAAAGAACAACGGAACAGTAAAACCTTTGTACACTTACCTCAGAATCTCCTTGATGGGTGAAGCCGTCCAATCAGTCTCTTGAACACTTTAGTCATTCTCCACTACTATTGAACACCAAGAAGCCTCGTTAATTCTCATCACTTTACAGCACTTGCCTCTTCTCTCAAACTCTTACTTGAGAATATTTGATAAACTTGCAATTAAGTACATATAATGAGTCGTATATGATCACATGACAGTCGTATATAATCCTTTAAATGTGATGATTTTGAGTTGGTGAGCAGAATGTGTGTTTGACTTTCCTACCGTAATCCGCCACACTGACCCATAATTCATAACGTTACTAAACACTCTTGACAAATTCTTCCTTAACTCGTTTTCATGACAATTCTTTAATTAAATTGAAAACAAATATTACAGGAAATTAATTTTGTAACTACTCCGTTCCTTTCTTGTACCATCATAAGATTAGAAAACGTAATTATCAAGAAATTAAGAAAAAATAAAGAAAAATACTGGAACGAAAACCGCCAATTGGTGACCAAAGATACTCTAGTAAAGATAGGAAAGCTTCAGCTAATATATATACAGTATATGAAATGTGTGTCCGGTATAGTTGCCAGATACTTTAATAATAGAGTCATCTATTGGCTGCGTTCAAAAGCTATTCGTGACGTCATAAACGTTGATGTGACGTCATGAGTGATGTGTTTTACGTATTCCATTTATTTTAGACATATAAATTTTTAAAAGGCATTCTTATTGTTTATATTTATTGAAATAAACAAACACAAAACCAAAAATTCAAGTTGTGTCTTGGTTACTCATGTATTATAATATTTCATCTAACATGATGCATGTGAATATTAACATTACCATGAAAAATTAAATTAATTATTAATAATTAATATTATTATTAATTATTAATCATACACAATATATATATATATATATATATATATATATATATATATATATATATATATATATATATGGACGAAAGCCAAGGTACTCCGTTGTTTCCATTTTCCCGTGTGATTTTATCAAGATTTATCTTATCCACGTTTTCATTGTGGATTTACATGATATATATATATATATATATATATATATATATATATATATATATATATATATATATATATATATATATATATATATATATTTGTATACACCGTATTTGCCCCTAAGCGTTGCTTATTCATTACTTTACGGTTTCTTATTCTTTTTTTTTAACGTTTTGCATGTTAAGTTATTTTAGACATATTTGCTTTGCTTTTAATCACACCCTGTAATAAACCAATTTTCATTATTATATTTAAACTCGAGTATGTTGTAAGTTTGTTTTAGTATTGATATAAATTTATTATCTTACCTTGCATGCTTAGTAAAAAAATAATAATGCTTCACTAAATTTAGCATGTCTGTAGACTAATTCTGAGGCAAATCGAGATTAGTTTTGGAATATATCAAGCATGAACTTTGGACTGAGATCATGACAGCCATTTCCCCAGCACCCAGCGACTTCGTGTCGTGGCGAGAGCTGCCGGAGCTGTGGGATAGAGACTGCGCAGCATTCGACGTGTACCTTCAGGAGTTCCAGCTTTACGCATGCGCAGATAAACTCCCCTTCTACTGTGTCCTGCGTAAACATATACATCCACAAGGTTAGTTCAACCATCATGATATTTGTTTTTATTGAAATATTAGAGTTATAAAGGTTACGTACTGTATACTGCACCTTTAGGCTCACCCCTATACCCTCGTCCTCGAAGGGTTCATCTAAAGGTTAAATCTCGTCCTCAAAGGTGTTAAGGAACTAATAATCAGATAGAATCACTGCAACAGATGACGTCAGCGAGGACCTGTCTGACGTGGAGCTGAGGGTGGAGAGAAGCTCTCTCGGTCTGGGACACCATGGGTGGCTCTCACTTAACCAGACAGACTTCCTTAGCCTGACGCTCTCCTGCCGGGCCTACAGCAAGTCCACAGGTCGGCTCCTACCTTACCAGCCTCACGTCTTCTGGAAGAAGGTAAGAAACTCACACACACACACACACACTCGTAGTGCATCAATAAAACAAACAAGACACTCTGGACTGGCTTCTAGAATACGCTGTTTAATTCTTTCTTTTCATTATATTTATATAATTTCAAAGTTATATATTGTATAGTATATCATTATGTGTGTTGTGCTATACTGAATGTCATTATGTGTGTTGTACTATACTGTATATTATTATGTGTGTTGTGCCGCAGGACCTGGTGTACACGAGCCACTGCGTCGGGGACATGATGCCGGCCACCATCCACGACTCCACCAAGTCAGAGTCGGTGACCGTGATGCCGGGGGTGAGAGAGAGGCAGCAGGAGCCCATCATCATCAACCAGGGTACCTACTGGTGCGAGGCCTGGCTCCCCGGCTCACCGGATCGCTTCACCAGCAACAAGGTCCTGGTGACCCACGACGACTGGCTGGTGTTCATCCTCAACGCCCACAAGTACGAGCCGCCGGGTGTCACCATCAACCAGACTGAGACTCAGCTCCGTAGTGTCTTCAAGGAGGAGTTCCACAGAATCTCAGACTACATAATGGACGTGATCTCGGTGGAGAAGAAGGAGGAAGCTGATAGTTCCTACGTCCGGGCCAACTACAGCTTCCATCTTCATGTACCAAGAAATGAGTTTATCATGGACGTGAAGAACCTTCAGTTTAAATCTGAAGAATACCAGAGAATTTTTTCCGACCATAAATTCGAGTCATCTTCCACAGTTGCTTATCCAACATTCTGTTCACGTCAGACAAAATCTTTCAACACCGGACTTGAGCTGGAGTGGCCATTTGAGAAAGCAGGAGAAGTCCACCCTAATAACTTCAAGTGTAAAGTGAATTATGGTAAATTGTCTCCCGGGCGTTGTGTGTGGGACTATATTCATGGAGCACAACTGAACTTTGACCCCAGCGGGTGTGAGTGGATGGATCAGTGCCCCGTTGGCTACACAAGCATCCAGAACAAATACTGCGTGGCTGTGTCCGCTCCGGCCACCTGGACAAAAGGCTTCAGTGACGCCTTCAGAACCAGTCAGGAGAGAAGCGTGCTTGATAGTCGTAAGTTCTTCAGAGTGAGGACCAACGGGGTCCCGCCTGTGTATGATCAGATCAGACAGCTGGTCGCGAGAACCATGAATGAGACCAAGATATGGCTTCCATCTAGAAGACTGCGACGACTAAGCCCAATAAAATCAATGAGTCCAAGCCAAAAACATGACGTATATCAAGATTACGAAGCGTTTAAGATGTACAACATATCCTGGGCCCCACAACATCCACGCAGCAGCCTAGAATGTCTCGCTTTAGACATGGCGACTAATCAACTTCAAACTGAAGACTGTAACGCACATCTTCCTTTCGTGACCATCATTAACGCTTTCTTCTTGGGAAGAGATCCAAAATTCTTGAGCGGGTCGCTGGTCAAGAGCAGTCCTTTGTGCCCCTCTGGATGGAGCACGACAAAGTTCAAGAATAACACATCTAATATAATTTGTTTTAAACTTTTCATGAATCAAAGGAATTTAACTTGGCCTGAAGCGAACAAATTCTGTGAAGAAGAAGGAGAGGAGGGGCAGCTGCCCACACCCAACGTGGGGTTCCTGGACTGGGTGTATCGTCGACACTTATATAACCACAATGTTTCTGACGTCTGGATGGGAGCACAGTGGATCCATGAACGATTACTGTACAATGGCTCTGTTGACAACATCAACTGGCTGGCAGACACTGACTACACTAACAGGTACGGTGCACTCACACAATATGGATGGATTCTTGAGAAGAAAGAAGTAACTAAACAAAATGTATTATGTCAAAAAAGAATTCACTCAGAAGTAAGCTTGCGCTTGGAGGTCCATGAGCCAAAAACTAGTGTTTCACAGACCATGTGCATCGACGTGGACCCAGAGCAGTTCCTGCTGGACGGGGACAACAACCTCCGCTGCTACGTCAACGGTGTATATACCAAACACGAACAGACTCAGGACTCAGGTTGTCAATACGAAATGAAGGTGTCGCATCAAGGCTACTACCAGTGTATAGCCTGGGCACACCCACCCCTCACACTAGTATACTCCAACCCCATACTTCACAGAGATTACAGAACTTTCACTTTCGTCGTGACTTTGTTACAAGATAAGAAATACAAGCCTAAGGACCATGACAGCACTTTTAAGATTAACAGATTTAAAATGCCGAAACCATCGTCAACTTGCACCGAACAGTTCAGGAACAGGCTGGACAGCAGCGACCTTGCGAATGATTATAGATTCAGCTTCAGGAATTTCTTCTATCTGCCCGAACACACAGAAAACAAACTTCTGCCAAACTTCCATCTTGAGTGCGAGCTGAAGAAGGATGATGCAGTTCTTTCAGAAAAACAACTTTTTATGAAGCTGAATAATGTACTTACCACTGGTGAACAGTTTTCTGACTGTAAACTGATTGGTATCCGGAGCACAGTCGGCTGTCCTAAGGAGGTCACACGAAACTATGGCGCCGTCTCTCCTGGTAATCTTACCTGGCCGGCCACGCGCGGGAACTCTGTGGTCATACCTGACGAGTTGTGCATCACACATAAGGGAGAGCCAGTCACGAGGGAGTGTCTGGGAGACTTCGTGGAAGGTTACTACTGGGGTCCGGCTGGTAACTGTACAGAGGAACCTTCAGAGCTCACCCGCAGTCTGTGGCGCATCAAACGCAACCCAAAAGACTACCTCAAAACCTCTCGTCCTCGTCCTGCCTTGCACTCGCTGGTAGAAATCACCAAAAACAGCTCCTGGTTACAACCTATCGACATACATCTTGTTGCTAAGACATTTGAGTCGTTCTCTAGGGAAAATGAAAGCAATATAGTTGACTTAGAAGAAATAGTGGAGACCCTCAATAATATCATGGCAGCCAATACTTCAATTTTCGATTTAGTGCAAAAGAAGCTAAACTCTTCAGGCATTCTCCTGGAAGCTTTTGAAGACATCACTTTCCAGATTGAATTACCGAGTGAAAAAGGGGACCAGAAGAAGAATTCCTCAAAAGAATTCATCTCGGTTGAGCGTCTGGATCTGGAAGTGAATTCAACAATCGTTGGGTACAAGTCCAGGGAGGACGGGGAAGGAGGAAGGCGGGCGGAGACGCTGGTCAAGGGCGTCGCACTTCAGGACCTGAAGGACGCTGATGCTGCCATCATCTTCCCCAGCAACCTCACCTACACCATCGCTGCCAAGACGGCCAGGAAGGGGAAAAGTAGACTATTCGAGGAAGAAAAAGTTCCTTTGACATTTGCTGTATATAGGAATGAAAAATTATTTCAAGATAATGTATCTCTCATTAACTACACTGTCAACAGCCGGATAATTCTAGCATCATTCAAGGGAGAAACAATTAAGGATTTGGATTACCCTGTAACCATTTACTTCAAACCATTTCAGTCTGGAAACGATACGAAATGTGTTTTTTGGGATTTTACGAAGAACTCAGGTAGAGGCGGGTGGAGTGAAGAAGGGTGCAGGAAGGGTGAGCGTGTGGGCGTCCATGACGTCTGCCTCTGTAACCATCTCACCAGCTTCGCTCAGCTCATCAATTATAACGATGACAGTGGCTTCAGCAGCCCTAACCAGCTCGCCTTGGACATAATTACAATTATCGGCTGTTGCCTGTCCATCATTGGTCTTCTTCTGGTGTTCACCACCTTCTTCCTGTTCAAGAAGTGGCGACGTTCCCTGAGCAACAAGATTCTAGTCAACCTTTCCTTCTCTGTGTTCTGTAGTGTTGTTATATTTCTGGCTGGGATCAACCAGACGTGGAACCTCATACTGTGTCGGGGTGTCGCTGTGGGTCTCCACTACTTCATCCTCGCCTCCTTCGGTTGGATGCTGGTTGAGGCCGTTCATCAGTACCTCAAGTTTGTCAAGGTTTTCGGCACATACATCCCGAGATTCTTATGGAAGGCTTCAGTGTGTGCTTGGGGCATTCCTCTCCTGCCCATCTTGACCTTGCTGGTGTACGACAGCTCCCTCTACGATAGCAACAATGACTACAATGGCGATGCCAAGATATGTTGGATGTCTGCCAAAGGCTTTAAATTTGCATTTCTTCCTCCTCTGATAGCGACCATGACAGTCAATTTGATCATCTTCAGTAAAATCATCCACGGGGCTGTGTGCGGCCGAGCCCGTGTCACCTCCACTATGTCAGAGAGAGTTTTGTTCATGAACCAACTTAGGATGGCGGTGTGTGTCTTCTTCCTGCTCGGCTTCACGTGGATCTTTGGGTTACTTGCCGTTTGTCAAATAAGAATCGTGTTCTCTTATCTCTTTTGTATTTTCAACACTCTACAAGGCTTCTTCCTTTTCCTCTTTCACGTGTTTCGTGAACGCAGTGCTCGAAAATACTGGAGAGACTTTCTCTCTGTTTTGACACAGGACCCCATGTCGTCGACGCCTGGGAACTCGGTCAACTTGCCAAACTCAGCCCAGTTCCGGGAACATCATGACAGCGTCACTTTCGACAAGTGTGGCGGCATCCTGGTGCTGCCTCAGGGACCCGTCAGACCACAGCTGCGACGCACCGTCAGGACCAGCTTACTGTCTGCCCGCACTGCCTCCACCCTGGTGCACTCCAGAGTGAGCTTCAACCCCTGACCTACTGAGTGGGAGCCTCCACACTCCCGTCTGCCGCCACAATGTTCCGGTCTTGTATTTGGTATTATCAATTACCGTATCAAGCGCCACTGAGTTTCACACAAACCCTTAGTCTTCTATACTGCCGTAATGACGACACATTCAGCTAGAGACAGTAAAGGAACAACGTGTGACTCGTGCCAGTGAGAGGTGTGGTGTGGTGTGGCACTGAAATTATATTGAAGGAATGTGTCGTATGAACACCTCCGACAGTCTCACTTTGTGACACGCGGAAAGCTATTACAGCTGCGTCAGGGACGGACAGTGTCTTGGTGTCCTGACTGCCTCACACATAATGTTGTGCCTTATACTGCTACAGTTCCTAGACCATTGTGAACAACATTGCCAAAGTTACATACGCAGGAAACATTTGTACATAAAAATGACCGAGTAAAAGTCTAGTCCAAACTGGTTACTGACCCTAACAGGTTTCTTACAAACATCCTTGATGTTTATGTTTGTGTTTACATCCCTCTGAGGAAGTTACCGATGTTTCGGATGTGTAAGTTCCTCAAGGGACTGCAAGTGTAAACCTTCAAGGACATGACGCGTGTTTAACATAAGGTCAACAGTGTTTACGAGTCATTCTAGTGTTAATGTTTATAGAATGACCGATGACATGATAAGAGTGCTAATGTTTCTTGATGTGAATTAAACAATAATACATAAAATATTTCCATTTATGTAATACGTTTTTATGGATCACGTGAAGATCAACTCCCAGCTTATTTCACCTGATGATTAAACACCCTAATCCTACCTGAGGGTGTAAGGTTAGGTTAGGTTAGGCCAGGTTAGTTAGGGTTAGATAAGGCTAGGTTTGGTTAGCTTAGATTAATTTAAGTTAGGTTAGTTTAGATTAATTTAAGTTAGATTAGGTTTGGTTAGCTAGGATTAGTTTAAGGTAGACAGACAGACAGACAGACAGATAAAGACAGACGAACAGACAGACAGATAGACAGACAAACAAACAGACAGACAGACAGACAGACAGAGACAGAAGGACAGACAGGCAAACAAACAGACAGACAGAAAGACAGAGACACACAGACAGATAAACAAACAAGCATCGAGACAGAGACAGACAGACAGAGACAGACAGACAGAGACAGACAGACAGAGACAGACAGACAGATATTCACAGACACTTAAAGGTTAGTAATTGTTATAACATGAAAATCAAAATGCAAGTTGTCGGACCACTGGACAAGTCTTGACACCCTGAGTATTTTCCGCTACCAAAGACTACTGACGTCATCCATATGTTGTTCCTTATACCCACAGAGAAACCTCCATATAACGGACTTGTTTTTCAATATAGTCCGATAAATAGAGGTTTGACATCTAATGGTCCCTCGTTATAACGGATTTTAGACCCTCGATATTACGGACTTCTCTCTCTATATAGTCCGGTAAATAGAGGTTTTACTGTACGTTTTGAGTATAATAATTGTTAAACAGAAAGGTTGACGAGTTATGTAAATATTATTATAGTGTTTACGTCATAATGGTTCCAATGTTTCAAGGACTCATCAATACATTTGTAGATAATAAAGATTTTATCATTTTCTTTACTCTTTTTATTTAAGAAACCTGCAAGTGTTTATAAAGGAATTAATGACTTCAGAATGTTTTTTAGGTAAACTGTAATTCGCTGTTATTTTATTTTGTTTATAATGATAAAAACAGGATGATTTTTATCGGTGCCATATAAAGGGGTTACAGTGCCTCATGATCCCACTTAAAGGGGTTACAGTGCCTCATGATCCCACTTAAAGAGGTTACTGTGCCTCATGATACCACATAAAGGGGTCACAGAGTCTCATAGTGCCACATAAAGGGGCCGCAGTGCCTCATAATGCCACATAAAGGGGTCACAGCGCCTCATACTGCCACATAATGGGGTCACAGAGCCTCATAGTGCCACATCATTAAAGAAGACATGATGCCATATTAAATTATGTCATAAACTGTTGCAGATGCCTGGGTTAGGTGCCATATATGGCGGCTTCTTATATTAGGTCACGTGTGTCATAAAATTGAAGTATCATTCTACAACATACTTAAATGTCTTAATGTGTCAAGTTATGGCATATAATGTCATAGGTGTCAGGTATAGGCAGTGTCATAAACTATCATATGTGTCATATTCTGCTAAAATGTGTCTTATTAAACAGTGAACTCAATATAGGATTAAGTAGTGTCGTCTAAGATAATAGATGGCGGCAAACTAGAGTGCCACAGTGACAGAGTGACAGAGTGCCAGGCGTGGGAGGCACTAGGGTTGGGAACCAGACTAACAGCTGGCCAAGAGAGACGATCTTATGTCATACTTAACTTTGGTCTTTATGACAGACAGAAGGTCAGGGTGGTGCAACATCCTATCTCGTAGTGAGGGGGAGGGAGGGAGGGAGGGGGGTGTAGGACGAAAGGTGAGTAGGAGGGAGGGAGGCATAGAGGGAGAAGGGAGGAGCGAAGGAGGGAGGCAGGGAGAAGGAATGTGGGGGAGGGGGGGGGGTTTACTTGAGTGGGAGGAAGGGAGGAGATCTGTAGGCAGGTGTAAGGAAAGTAATTTGAGAAGGTGTGAGGTTGAGGTAAGGAAGAGAGAGAGAGTGATCAGGCCAACACAACACTCTCAGAAGCCCTCCAAAACACAAGGGCAATAAAACACACTCATACCTACAAAAGGCACTTACTTATCACCTATATTTTGAAAATGAACTTCTACAGTGTCTCCTGTAGTCGCTAAGCACCCTACCGTAAGCTTACCAAAACTTGAAAAAAAAATTATATTGTATTTTCTTTGGTATCATGCACATGCGCGTATCTCCAAGCTTGAGTAAAACGATTGAAAAAGTTGGATCACCTGAAGATTAGTTCCCCCAAGCTTATTTCACCTGATGATTAAACAACCTAACGCTATCTGGGAGAGTCAGGTTAGGTTACGTTAGATTAGGGTAAGGTTAGGTTAGGAAGCTAATCTTCAGGTAATATGAATAAGTCTTAAATAAGAATGCCTTAAACAGCTCACAGTATTAATAAGTCTTGTGGCAAGAGAAAGTTATTAATAAATACGGTTCATTATATACACTGCCGGCCGTACGATCAGCCATTCACTATATGGACAATTCTTCGTCACTCTTGTTTTATTTCCGTTAATTAAGATCACCTGAAGATTAGCCCTCCTGTATGTGAGTATTTTAACCTGATGTTTTAAACTTTAACGCTATCTGGTGGTTTGGTTAGGTTAGGTTAGATTAGGTTTGGTTAGGTTTGGCAATATTAGGTTAATCTGGGTTAACGTTATGGTGGTTAATCTTAAGGACAAATAAACAGGGGGGGGGGCGAATCTTCAGGTGATTCAAATTTTCCTATAGATTAAGTGTACATAGATTACAGTTACAATACATTATCCCTCAGTACTGTATGGTTGTCGTCATGGATTCATAGTTACATGACTTTTGCTGTGTTGCTTTAAATATTAGCATTAATAACAAAAGAAGTAGTGTTGTATTATTTACTGTCAGTATATAACAGCCTTCATTCTGATTTTCTATTTTTAGATATTGTAAATGATGACTAAGGCAAAAAACAAGGGATAGACGAAGATAAGGTTCCTAACTACTTACACTCAGAACAAACGGTAAAGTTAGCTGAAGAGGTTGTACTGTAATAAGGCATTAACTCCCACGCGTTTGGTGCATGTAATTTAGATGAAAGTTACCGGTATATTTCATCTCTTGTACACCTGAACTATAGTCTATAGGTATTGTATAAAATAACGGTTTTACACTACCTCAAAAAGAGATCATTATGGCCCTCTTAGACTTCAGGGTAGGAATTTTGGTTCTTTAGTGATCATTTGGCTGAGATATTAACTGATAGCTCTGGTTCTTTAGTGATCATTTGGCTGAGATATTAACTGATAGCTCTGGTTCTTTAGTGATCATTTGGCTGAGATATTAACTGATAGCTCTGCCGACGTTCTGTCAATTACATGATTTTTTTAGTAAATGCAATAAAAAAGTGCAATCATAGTAAATTAATAGTTTTAAAATTTTTTATGTATTCTAATATAATTTTATTTTAATTTTTGGTTTCCATTTATGAAATTTATAATATAAAACCATTTGCTTAGTTCTCGCGCCCAGACTGACCGGCCGGGGCGCGAAGTTTCTGGAAGGCGACGCCAGAGCCCCCAGGACCACCCTTGGGGACGGACGCAGCCAGAGTGCCTACTTATTTAAACCATTTTTCAAGTTTATCTGTACTAGAATACTTTTTAGTTTAGTTTCATCAGCTTTGTATGATTCGTTTCCATCTTTAAAGGTGAATCCAGAACTTGGCAGGAAGAAAACAACTGAAATAAGAGGTCACTCCTGAGGATAGCGTCTCCAGGTGAGGAACATTTCTATAGGTACTCAAAGATAATCTTGTAGAAGGGTAACTGGTAGTGTATTACCTTGTATTTAATGGGCGTAAAATAACGAGTGATGGGTGAGACTAGTTCACAGGTTAAGCCAACCTTGAAGGTAGTAGGCAGCCACCAAACAGGGAGGTACTACCGCCTGGGGAGATACTGGCAGCGTAATGGGTTGTCTAATGGTAGACCCTGCTGCTATATGTGACCTAGTCCCAGGTTGATGATCTGACTTTCTGCTTCACTTACACACAATTGCAGGGTCTCAATTGTTTCTCTTACCATTGACAACACAACATACATGTATCGTTTCTCACTTTTGATCTTTTTTTTTCATTTTTGTATTTATAGTTCTTTATTATTAATATTATTATTATTACAGTTACTGTATTATTATCATCATTACTTTATTATTTTATTTTGTTGGTTTTATCATAAATTTTATTTATTATGAATTATTGACTTATTTATTAATATTATTATTATTATTATTATTATTATTATTATTATTATTATTATTATTACATTTTCGCACCCCAGGCCCCAATGTGGGTCAGTGACTTGTGCCCGGGTGGGCTAATCCCCGTAAAAAAAAAAAAACTATCTAAATCAGCTCTCGTGACTTGGCCCGTTAAATACAGGATTATCTTGCTCTAGGGCCTAGAGAAGATAACCAACAGACTGTAATACTTAAGAGTAAAACCGGAGTCCACAAATCACAAACAGGAACTCTAAACAATATAACTAAGGAATTGCGATGTTGTCTATAATGTACTCGGTATAAACTTTTATGACTAGAACAAGATACTGTATTTCCCCTTTTTAAATTGAGGAGTGAAACTGACAATTAATGATTCATCAGGTAAACCATACAGTATATTCTCATAGTAAACATATAACACTTTCAATACATACTGTACATCTGCGTCTCTTGGGAAACATGACGGTAACTGGTCTATTTCTATACCTAATCACGATCTCATATCTTTACCATCTCTCGCCAAACTATTATTCGATTTAAGGAGGTTACATGCTAGTTATATCTCGACTGTTATCTCAAAACTCAAGCTCTATCATTCTGTACGGCGCGGTGGGTGCAGCTCCTAGTTGCTACTGGCACGCCGGCACGAGAGGGAGAAGCTGTGGTGCAGCACGAGAGAGAACCTTAACAGTAGAGGCAGTTATGGTAGTGATTAAAACTAGTGATATCGCAGCACACTCGCTAAGGTCGCCAACTAAAGCTTCCTGTCAGCAAATCTAAAGTACTTGTTAGGCAGAGTTAATTAATTCATGTTTTACACTTCCGTTGTTGCAGCTAATGATGAACTACCGTACTTGCGCTGATCGTAGACTGGTAAGTGACTGTAATCTCAGTGGCGTTTCATTAGAGAAAGAGTATTCTCGGCGGTTAATACTGTGGCCAGCATATTAAAATATGACTTCCAACCAATGTGTGACTTATCCTCCCAGCCAACTATTGTGTGGCCAGCATTTCAGTGACGTAACTTAGAATTAATGACGCACTTTCTTGTAAACACAATAAACTTTACCAATCATACAGTAATGGTACGGTGGCGGGATGACTATCCTATATGGTGAATTGGTAGTCCATTGGTCCTGGACTTAAATCCGTATTGAGGAGGTATTATTAATGCCCAGTGTGAACTAGCAACATTAGCATAACCTTATCACTACTGTCTTGTCCTAAAAGTCCAACTGGCTCAAAGAAAATAATGAACTGCGACTTGTTTATCTATATTTATCCATGACTGAAGAGAAACAAAGTTACTCACACGAATTGTAAAGTTGTCGACGATAAGCCACTGAAAATCTTGAGATGAAAAGCGCTCTTAATTGTCAACGTTATAGTTAGCTAATATATATGCCTCAGCACAGAACCACTACTGCACGCACATGTGTAGCACCAGCTTAACACATATAAGACTGAGATATTAAGGCATGATGTAATGATGGCATATCACGAAGCTTTCTTGTTATCTACGCTGATTCTTGTAATAAGCTATAGCTAGATTGTGTTTCGTACGCCACATTCTGTATGGTCTTTTGAACGCTAGTCCCTATAATATGCTCTATTCGGACACTAGCTCCTATATACGCTCTATAATTGACGCTAGATCCTATACACTCTACAGTATAATGGACACTAGATCCTATACGCTTTTTAATGTACGCTAGATCCTATACGCTCTTTAATGGACACTAGATCCTATACGCTCTACAGTATAATGGACACTAGATCCCATACGCCCTTTAATGTACGCTAGATCCTCTACGCTAGATCATATTTATTTTATAACAGACGTTAGATCTTTTCTGTTCTCTTTCTTAGGTTAGATTCTCTACACTATTTCTGAAGTTAGATAATTTATGCTATTTTTTTTGCGTTAGGATTTATGTTCGATCAAGTTTTGTACAGTGTATCTTGCGTGTTAGATTTCCCGGGTCAGATTGCCACGCCCACGATGCTCCCAATGTTATAAGTTTCCTTCATTATTCTGCGCGTTAGAAATAGCATATTGGTGAAAGCAACAGCAAAAGATTCAAACTGTATATTAAGACGCTTGTATACTGAATAATAGGGATGAATAGAACGGTAAGGATTTATAGTTTCCAGAAGGTTAGGCATACATTAATTATTTACATATTAGATAGAGGCTATGGCCATGATAACTTTGAACTAGGATGTGGCTTCGCTAACCCCATACCTATGCTATGGTTGTTATAACTCAAAAGACACGGGAAAACGAACAAAATCCTGTAATATAAAATGTAATTAAAATCTCATTACTGATATAACAGGACAAAATCACTCTAGGTTTTTTGTATTAAAATTACTAGTTTTTCCTTTCTAAAATCCCAATATGTGAAGTATAATATTTTTGAATTTTTTTTATAGTTTGAGGGATTTTAGGTCGATAGTATTTTCACCAAAACATGTACAGTATATGAGAACGGTATTAACGTGACTATTCTCCAAAAGCTGTAAGAGTGTATGGAGAGTAGTTATGATTTCTAAAAAACACAACTGTACTGTAGAACTGCAATAAGAGCGACTGACTGCATTCACTGAAAACTAATGAAGAACTGTATTTTTAGATAGTGACTGAGCAAGCCTCCATAAGAGCTCGTAGCCTACACACTACACCTTAAAACTAGACCAAACTGTGCGTTTTTGTACATATTAATATATTACTGTTTTTTATAAATAATTGAGCTGTTAAATATTTCTGAAATACTGCCATTAATACTTTGATAACCAAGGAGTAAAAGGTTATGTACTAACATGGTATTGCGTTACCATGTTTCTTGTACCATCCATGGCAATAATACTACCATGGAAACCTCGTGTGAGTACCATAGTTATCATACTAGCCATGGCAATAACTCTACCATGGCATCCTCCTGTAGCCTAAACATTGTCTTGTGTCAACAATCATGATAGGTTAGTAACTATGGCCAGTGTTGGAGACATCAAGGACAGGACGAAACGAATCGGCCATACCTAACCTAACGTAACCTGGCATTCTTAAAGTAGTGTTTGTTAGGTTAGGTTTAGCCAGGTTTATGTATATTCGTATAAAATAATTTTAGAGCTGCAGTCTCTCCTGTACGTACGTGGGAATTTTCAAACAGTAGACGTTCTACCCAAGCCATCAAACACAAAATTAATGAATATGAATCTCGTATACTTTTGATTGAAAAAAAAACATTAACTTTTGTTTTCATTATAACAGACACTAGTAACAAGTATGACCAGAACATTATTAAATATTGCTCTGGGTTCTGTTTCCATTAACACTGAAATATTACCCGTTTTTAAAAGTTTCACCATAACTCAGCTCATTAGACACTTCACATTGTTTCCCCATCCATTTATTTTTCATTTATATGACTTAAATAGTGACTCCAAGCCATGTATAAAAAAATATTGCGTTTTATGATATAGGCAAAACAATTGTAGACTTGAGTGAAAAACCCCATGAGTTCTTCGCTCCTCGAGGCATTAAATACGCTACTTTGTTCCTTGAGGCAATAAATACGCTACTTTGTTCCTCGAGGCAATAAATACGTTACTTTGTTCCTTGAGACAAATAATAGTAATGTGTACGTGAAGCGTCTTAGGGACAGCGTATAATTGATCCTTTGATTTATCTTCGAAAACTTGGGTGTGAGGTGTCCTTGTGCGTGATCATGTGGATAAATTTACACACTAGAAGTGAATATAATTGTTGTAACGAAGGCTGGCATAAACAAAGTTAACTTTACCAATACTAAAAAAATTCTGGTGTTTTAAGGCTTACTCCTGATTTTTATAATTAAGTAATAATAATAATAAAATAGTCTAAATGTCACAATTATATTCGCTTTACATCTCTTATAGGCGGATTATCCCTAAAACAAAAGATGATCACTGTCAGGTCATGTGTGAGTTAGTAAGACGCAAGACAGTGTAGTTAGACAATACGATCACATTGATATATCACACAAAATACATGTAGTTTCCTGGGAGGTGGAATGGTTGGAGTTGAAGTTAATACAGTGAGTTTGTCCCTGAGAAGCAAAATACCATCACGGATACACAGAGGACGATCAAGGCAAGTTTACTATACAGGTATATATATATATATATATATATATATATATATATATATATATATATATATATATATATTAGAAAAGATAGGACGGTCAAGTATGACAAAATGCAACAAAAGACGATCAAGTTATGACAAAGACGATCAAGTTATGACAAAGACGATCAAGTAATATTTATGCATAGGGAATTGTAAGAAGATCACGTTAAGGATTAAGGCATGTCGTATCCAAAGAGCAAAAAGTCGAGGAGATATGTCCTGAGGAAGCGTAGCTTGTCGTCGGAAGCGAGGTGTTGCAAGTATTGGTGGCGTCGCTCGGCGGCGTGGAAGGTTCGGTCAGGAGGCGGGAACCTCCTGGCGTAGTGGCCCACATCCAGCCAGTGTAAGGTGGCGTTCATCTCCTGCTCCAGGTTCTCGTACCTCCCCACTGCGTTGTACTGCCGAGACAATACCCAACGTTACAGACGGATCACCATAATGGAATTACTGTACATTAATAGGGTAATTCAATCCAGTATCTAACATAACTGGGTATGGAAACATCAAGGCCGGGAGTCTCTTGAAGTTCGTAACGTGAATATTACTCATGACTGGTGATGTGAGAGCGAATCATGCTTTCTTATATAGGTACAAGATAAAGATGGTAGCCTACCACCTACCTACCGACCTACAGTACAGTACAGTACACCCACCTGGACGGTACAGGGGGCACACAACTCTGATATGGGTCTCCAATGCTCGTTCTTCTGAGCCTCCGTCCATGTGCCGTTGGGGGGCGTCACCCATTTAATGAACTCCGGGAAGGTCACGTTGTGTCCTAGACCTGTCACCTGCCGGGATACATCACAGTTAGTACAGGTCAAAGGTCACAGTGTTAAGAGGTCGGTCACATCTCACTACGGGTCACATGTTATTGCTTACAGGTTGCATATTTTAGGTAACATTATCGGCCACAGGTCACATTATTATTATAGGTCACAGGTCACCAGGTTACGTTATTACAGGTCACAGGTCACATAAGTCAGGGCCTACATTAATTGGCAGGTCACAAAATATTAGTCACAGGTGAAATATTATTGACCGCAAGCAATAAAATGTCACTTGTCCCAGCGCTTTCCCTTCTTCCACACCCCTTTACCTCTCTTCCTCCTCTTGCTACATCTCTTACTTCATCATTTCCCCTCGTCTCCTCCCTCTGCCCTTATCTCATCTCACAGGTTCTCTCACCTTCCCTCTCATCATCATCACCTCTCCCTACCTTTCACTACAACTTCGTCTCGCCTCCTCTCCCTTCCTATCCCTCACTTACCTCACTGCGTCTCTCACCTTGCCTCTCACCATCATCTCCACCTCCTGGCCCACGTATTTATGAAAGTCGAACTTGCTCTCTCTGTCTGAGTTCTCCAGCTTGTCACTGAAGGCTGAGATGAGTCTGTCCAGCGGGTGACGTGTGAACAGGAATTTCTTGTATGTTCTCAGTATCTCCTCTTTCTTAGCTTCTGCGGGAGGAACAGGAGTCGATAAAGATGGACGCAGAAGGAACCAAAAGAGAAAATGGAGATACTACTACTACTACTACTACTAATAATAATAACACTAATAATACACACAGGTAGTATTACGCATTTGCTAATAGTAGAAGCTTTTAATTGGCCTGGGTGAGTATTATAACGAATTATAATACTTGGATCTTGGTGATAAATCTATTACAAAGATTTTTAACCATTTTATCTTGTACCTGAAAGATGATGTTGGTAGACAAAGATACTGAAATGTTACGATATATTTCAGATTGAAGAGAAACATACCGGGGAGCTCAAGAAATGTCCAGTGTTTCAAGACATTACTTCACTACTAAGGACTTGGATGAGATGTTGAAGGTTAGTGACGAGTGATTCATTAATAAATAGACTAATTCAGCGGAAAATAACGAAAAAAAACTAATTGAAATGACTCAGTCTGAGTTCAGTTCATGTTATCAGGAGGATGATAATATAGTGTAGCGTTGGATAAACAACAAAAACTATTTAGGTGAAAAGGCCACAGGAGGGAAATTTTACAAGGAGGGGTTTGTAAGGCCACACATGGTACTTGGAACATGGAACTTGAAACTATTGTATGTTATCAAACCTGGAAACATGGTGTTGGCCAAGTTAGGGAGGAGAGGCCCGTGGACTTGAGCTCTTGTCAGGTCCATGATGTCGTCGTCATCCTGTAGAAGGCCCACCATCCAGAACCACAGCCTCTTCCACGACGTGCACGCCACCTACACCGTCAGGAAGGTCGTGGTGGTGGTGGTGGTGGCGGCGTAGGGATTAACACACACACACACGGGAGGAAAATACAGAAAACAATTACGATAAATACACAAATGATATACACTGTTGGTATATCCAACCTGTTATTTATACGAGACAGTGATTTGTTTGTTAATGGTCATACAGTATTATCAGTGTGACGTCATAATCTGTCTTCACTTATACCTTGCCTCGCCTACCTTACCCACCTACCCTATCCCACCTTACCCACTTACCCTACCCCCAGATACCTAACCTAACCTACCTGACCCCACCTTACTCACCTACCTGACCCCACCATACTCACCTATCTGACCCCACCATAACCTACCTGACCCCACCATACTCACCTATCTGACCCCACCATAACCTACCTGACGTCCACTTACTCACCTTGGGGACGAAGCACATGAGGGTCTTATGTCTCGTGTCGACCAGTAGGTGTTTAAGGACCATGTAGTCGAGCGTCTGGTTGAGGTTGAGGGAGGAGCAGGCGTGAAGCATGTGCTGGACCCGCCTCTGCTGCACCTCCTCCCACTCCATGTTGGCCGGGTAGTCCTGCTGGAACTGTGTGATTCACCTGTTAGGCTGATGCTTGATTCTGTGTGTGTGTGTGTAGTGTAGTGGTAGTGGAGTATGGTGTCTGAGGATAGTATAATTTACTGCACTATATAGGAACTATACTTGCATATTCTAGCTTTATTCTTTTCTCTCTATCTCTGTCTGTCTGTCTGTGTCTATCTATCTATCTATCTATCTATCTATCTATCTCTATGTCTCACCTGTACGTTTTCACTCTGGGATTTATCTTGATTTAGTATCCAGTTTAGGCCACTGATCCTCTGGTAGTCGATACCTGGGGAGACGGAGAGTGAGGGGTAGCAAGAGTGAGGGGGTGAGAGTAAGAGTAGAGAAAGAAAGAAAGACTGCGAAGGAAAGGGAAGGAAGAATGAAAGAGAGGGTGAGAGCAAGAGGGAGGTAGAGACAGAGGGTGATGGCAGTAGACAAAGTAGTTTACCTGAGGTGGTGATAATAGTGAAGGTAGACAAAGTACAATACCTGACTAATTAATAATAGTGAAAGTAGACAAAGTACAATACCTGACTAATTAATAATAGTGAAGGTAGACAAAGTAGATTACCTGAGGTGGTGATAATAGTGAAGGTAGACAAAGTACAATACCTGACTAATTAATAATAGTGAAGGTAGACAAAGTAGATTACCTGAGGTGGTGATAATAGTGAAGGTAGACAAAGTACAATACCTGACTAATTAATAATAGTGAAGGTAGATAAAGCAGATTACCTGAGGTGGTGATAATGGTGAAAGTAGATACAGCCAGCAGGATAAAGGCCCATAACGTTACTTTTCCCCACTTGGTCGGCGGGTAACGCTTGGCCCTGTCGTCAAAACACAAGAGTCAGAACTAAAATAACTCAGTCTTTTTTTTTTAAATCATAAAATTTATTTTCTTTTAACTCTTTTAAGGACCAGTGGGTTAAATTAATAATCGTCCTCAAAGGGTTAAATTATCGTCTTCAAAGGGTTAGATCAACGTCCTCAAAGGGTTAAATTATCGTCCTCAAAGGGTTAGATCAACGTCCTCAAAGGGTTAAATTATCGTCTTCAAAGGGTTAGATCATCGTCCTCAAAGAGAAAAATTATCGTCTTCAAAGGGTTAGATCATCGTCCTCAAAGGGTTAGATCATCGTCCTCAAAGGGTTAGATCATCGTCCTCAAAGGGTCAGATCATCGTCCTCAAAGGGTCAGATCATCGTCCTCAAAGGGTTAGATCATCGTCCTCAAAGGGTTAGATCATCGTCCTCAAATGGTTAAAACAGTTTACTCAGTGGCGCACCTCTGAGTCTGGTGGTTATGGTCACCTTGATTATCGACGAGTGTCTGCTATGACGTAATGGTGACGTCATAAGTGTGTGTGTGTGTGTCAGCGACCATGACCTCGGGCCAACCCCTTCCTTCCTTCAACCTCAGTACCTGTGTTATTCTTTCGCAGTTGACCCTCACTGTTTATATTAACCCCACTACCCATCTAGCTCTCCTCCCCCCCTCATCCAGGTCTGCTCCCTCATCCAGCTCTCCTTCCCCCTCATCCAGCCCCCCCCCCCGGCCGTGACGTGTACTAATAATAAGGGTGATGGGGGTGAATGATGATAGTGGGAGGGTCACGATACCTGCCTCACGCCCCCTTTCACAGGTGTCCCATACTGATTAACTAACTTACCTACCTGGATAAGTGAAGGTTGGCACTCTATCTCTCTCTCGCTCTCTCTCTCTCTATCTCTCTCTCGCTCTCTCTCGCTCTCTCTCGCTCTCTCTCGCTCTCGCTCTCTCTCTCTTTCTCTCTCTTTACTTTCTTTGTTTTTTTTCACTCACAGACACACTGACACACGCACACAACAAAGACACACACACACAACAAAGACACGCACACACACACACACACACACACACACACACACACACACACACACACACACACAGAGCAACATAGGCAGGTGTCGTGGCAACAATAAACCACGTTAACATGCTCAAGGTTTTAGTCTTGCGGCGTCGTGTCTCGTCCGACTGGCGCCAGATCCAGGTTAACATTTATTTTTTGGCCCTAACCTGACCTAACCTAACCTTAACCTTAACTTTAACTTTAACCTTAGCCTTAACCTTAGCCTTAACCTTAGCTTTAACCTTAACCTTAGCCTTATCATAACCTAACCTATCTATGTGTCTACTCAACAGTCGGTAGCTAAAGGTAAGGTAACGCTCAGGTGTGTGTGTGTGTCCTTGGCGTGTACCAGGAGGTGGACTCAGGTTGAATAACTCTATATTGAATTATTGACGAAAACGTACGTCTCACCCACCACCTTCACGCCCGCCTGCTTACCCGTTATCACGCCCACCCGCTATCACGCCGTCCCCTATCACGCCGACCCGCTATCAACGCCCACCCACCACACCAGTCCGGTATCACCTCCACCCACCACGCCCGCCCGGTATCACGCCCACTCCTGCACTGTTGTTAACTGATGTGGAAGGCAGGGTCGGGATTCACACATGGTCGTACGATGAATATTTCTTGTAACGAGATATTATACACCTAACCTAACCTAACCTACCCTACCCTACCCTACCCTACCCTACCCTACCCTACCCTACCCTACCTACCTTACCCTACCCTACCCTACCCTACCCTACCCTACCTTACCCTACCCTACTCTACCCTACCATAACCTAACTCACCCTAACCTACCCTAACCCAACCTACCCTACCCTAACTCACCCTAACCTACCCTACTCTATCATTCACCTCTGACGTCATTACCTTAAGATTTGTTTACTTTCCAGTTTCCTTTTTCTTTACTGTATATAATAGTTAAATCAAGAGTTAGGTAGTGTGTGTGTGTGTGTGTGTGTGTGCGTGTTTTATATAAATTCCAATCTTTATAAATCGGTAACATCCGCATCCTCTAGAAACTATATTAGGTTAGGTAAGCTTTAGGGTGATTGATCTTATGGTGAGACAAGCTTGGAATGTCTAATCTTCAAGTGATCCCTCGCATGAAACACACACACACACACACACACACAGACGGGGGTAAATGTGTCGTGTTCTCAGATAGTTAACATGGCTGGTGGTGTCTGGGTTAGAACTGTACTGTGCGGGTTTATCAGAGCTCCAGCACATGCAACGTATATTTAAATCCTGATAATTTACATGAATAATGAAGATCCGGATTAGCTGAAGATTTGTCCGTTTGTACCCCCGGCCCCCATAGCTTATTTTAATAGTGAAGATTAACCATCCTAGCGGTATGAGAGAGGACAGGTTGGAGAGAGGATAGATGGAGGACGGTTGGAGAAAGAGGACAGTTGGAGAGCAGCTACCACAGTTACACAGGTATGATGACACTCACCTTGCCCTGGCGTATGATGGTCTTGGCATCTTGTTTCCTCACGTCCTGTTACCACGTCCTGAAACACGTCTTCCTCCTCTTCCTTTCACACGTCTTATGGCTATATATATATATAAACGTCCTTTCCTTTCTTTTCCACACGTCCTGCGTTTCCTCTTGCTCCTGTTTCGCCCACGTCCTTCCCTCCGCCTGCGTCTGAGCACACGTCTCTGCCCCCTCGTCGTAGGTAATCACAAGACCCACGTCATCCTGCAGGTTTTCTCTCACTCTCTCTGCGATCAGGTAATTTCCCCTTGGGTTTATTCGGCCTCATGTGGGGTGGTCTTTATTCTTCCATCGTCACAATAATGTCAACAAAGATCAGCTGTTAAGTTGCCTTCGTCACACTGTAAACAAACATCAGCTGTTAGGGGAAAACCTTAAAGTCTTCCAGCTAAATATGAAATCATGTTCCTTGGCTGTGGTGGGGGATGAAGGGGGTTAGTAGGTAGGTGGGGGGAGTTAAGCTGGAGTAAATTAGAGAGGAGTTAGTAGGTGGTGGGGGAGGGTCGGTGTGGGTGGGAGAGGGTCGTAGGTGGAGTGGGGGAGAAAGAGTTAATGGAATTAGGTGGGGGAGAGGGGTCAATGGTAGGAGACAGGAGAAAGGGAGTTAATGAACTGGGTGGGGAGAATTAGGTGAATTGGGGGTGAGAGTTAGGTGGGTGGGGTGAAGGAAGTTAGTAGGTGGGTGGGGGGATTAACAGGTGGGTGGGGGGACTAGTGGGTGGGTGGGAAGGTGTGTAGGTGGGTGGGGGAGAGGAGTTAGTGGGTGGGTGGGGTGAGGTTAGGTGGGTGGGGGTGAGGGGTTAGTAGGTGGGGTGAGAGAAGGAGGGGGTGCTTATTGATCATTATAGACATTACATAGTTGGTTGGTTTTGTGATAATGTTCGTATTAGGTTGTGTTTACGTTCAGCTGTTATATGGTTACTGAAATGCACCTCTCGCACTGGTGATCAGTCCAACACTTGTGGAAAATTAACTAGCACAGTTAAACTGTCGCACCAGCAAGGTTAAACTGTCGCACCAATAATCACTATCACTGCCATAACGTATCTGTTGTCTCACTCCATCGCTATCGCACACAAACACACACAGGTGATTCAGCCAAGCACGGGTGGACTAGTGACACCTTTCGCAAGTCACACCCGGCGAGTCCTTGTCCACTTTCCGCACGTGTGCACCTCCCCCACCAGTCCCGCAAAGTCGCCAAACTCTCCCTTTTAAATGTATCTGTTTTTACCTATACCGCTTCTTGCATACATCCTGTGTGTGTAGAGGCAGGGAGGGGTTAATAAAATTTGATGGGTGGATTAGTAAGATTTAAATGGGCTTGTAAGATTAAAAGGAGACAATAAGATTTTTAGGGTCAGGATTTACAGAAGATACAAAGGACATTGAGTAGTGAAGGATTTAAAGGGAGATTATGGGGATTAAAGGGATAGAATAATTTAAAGGGGGGCGATAAGAATAACAAAGGGAGAGTTAAGAGGTGGTGGGAGAGACAGCAAGATGGGGGAGGGGTCGTGGGTAGTGACGTACTTTGGGGGCAGGAGGAGAGAAAAGGGGGGAGAGGGGTTGTTGCAGTAGCGTGTCTCAGTGGCGGGGTCAGGAGGAGAATGTGTGTGTGGTGTGGGTGTGTGTGTGAGGGGAACGCGACTGCGGCAGAGTGAGGGAGGGGACTGACTTAAACCGGGTGAGGCAACACACGCACACACTCACACATGCGTCCCTCTCTCTCTCTCTCTCTCTCTCTCTCCACCACCCTCACCAACACTTCCTCATCCTTCTCCCTCACCAACCCTCTTCCTCCTCCTCACTAACCCTCCTTCTCCACCACCTTCACCCTCCTCCTCCACCTTCCCAGAGATCTTCATTCGCTCCCCACCAAGTTTCGTCGGCCCCTCCCGTCCCCTCCCCCTCCAAACCACACTTTTATAAATTCTGTAAGACGCCCGAACGTAAACTATAACGATCATCCATTAATAAACAGAGAAGCTCCTACCCTGACCCTCACATTCCGCCCCTCCCCCCCCCCCCCCCCCCCCCCGTGTCTGCTGGTGGACTCGGGGATCCCGTCTAACACCACCATAATGATCGGTTAGTCTCCACATCATACCTGGACGACGCTGTGTTTCATTAATAAATTGTTATTTATTTGTTTATTTACAGGTACAGGTAATAACTCGTGGGAAGGTCAAGGTGTAGAGAGTAAAGGAGATCCCCCGCTCCCGTTTCCTCCCCCCGTCTTCACAATTGCCTCATCCACACCTCTTACCCCTACATAGACACTGCACAGTTTCACTGTCCATAAAGCAAATGAAAAACAAAAAAATTGTTGGGGGCTGAGCCGGGTTGTGCCGACATTGGTCAAAATCGTGAATACTGCAGTCCCTTCCTCAGCTAGTGTAGTGAGGGGCGCCGACCACTGTCTCTTATCCATCTCATTTTTATTATGTTTGAAACACCGTCTAGTGTCAGGTCTTGCCGTTACAAAACATGATCAGGAATCCTTCTCTTACGAGGTATTTAGGATATAGCAGAATAAGGTGTGGGGGAGACAGATAAATGTGGTGGTAAATGGAGGAGGTAGTATCTGGTAGCGTGGGAACTACCCCTGCAGGAGGCAAGGTGCACACTACACAGGCCAGTTATATTAGCTACCCGGGCCCCCCTCACTACCCCCTCTCTCCCTCCCCCTACCTTAAGGCCAGCAAAATGGAGGATATCAAACCCTGTAGGAAGAAGACGCAGGAAATTAAATTAGGATTACGTGGAAGATATGAGAAGTTGTTCGCTGGGTGAGGGAAGGAAAGGGAGGGGGGGGGCAAGTGAGACGCGCCAGCTGACTGCAGTAGTGGTGCACTTTCAACATTACCCAACCAACTTGCAACAAACTCCTCTGCATTGTTCTCTCTCTCTCTCTCTCTCTCTCTCTCTCTCTCTCTCTCCCTCTCTCTCTCTCTCTCTCTCTCTTTCTCTCTCTCCTCTCTCTCTCTCTCTCTCTCTCTCTCTCTCTCTCTCTCTCTCTCTCTCTCTCTCTCTCTCTCTCTCTCTCTCTCTCTCTCTACTCTCTCTCTCTCTCTCTCTCTCTCTCTCTCTCTCTCTCTCTCTCTCTCTCTCTCTCTCTCTCTCTCTCTCTCTCTCTCTCTCTCTCTCTCTCTCTCTCTCTCTCTCTCTCTCTCTCTCTCTCTCTCTCTCTCTCTCTCTCTCTCTCTCTCTCTCTCTCTCTCTCTCTCTCTCTCTCTCTCTTTATTGTTTGGTTTATTGTACTACTACTACTACTACCACCACCACCACCTCCATTACTATTAGCTACTACCACCACCAATTCTACTACCACCGCTACCACAATAGCTGGGTGACTTGCACGCTCGCCGGTTAATCCATATAGATCTGTCAATATTACCACACACACACATACACACACACACACACACACACACACACACAGACAGGTGAGTGTAAACAACATAGGGTGAGCAGACAGTCCCGTTAACCGAATTACAGCATTATAGAAATGCAACAACAGTGAACCGTGGGAACAGCACTGCGGCATCAGGGCTTAACGCAGATTCACCTCACAAGTGTACGCCTCTCTCTCTCTCTCTCTCTCTCATTGTCTGCACCACCACACAAACACATGCACACACTCTCATTCTCTCTTCTCTCCCTCTCTCTTTTTCTCTCTTTAAATATTTTTCTACTTATGATCATCTTTGTTATATTTTGCACAGTGAGAGAGAGAGAGAGAGAGAGAGAGAGAGAGAGAGAGAGAGAGAGAGAGAGAGATTAACTCCTTCTTACAGCTGATGAACAAACTTTCAACAATATTTAATTCATAAACTTTTCACGTTGTTCGGATAAACCTTTTGATTCTCTTTATTAAAATTGTCACGTATTTTGTTTTTCATAAGTTGAGAGTTTTTTTTATTTGTATGTGAAGTACAAACAGGTGTGTGTGTGTGTGTACAGCACAAATATACATACACACACAACATGACTCACCGTAATAACGTTAGATATTTTACCTCATTCAAACAGCTACGATATTTAATTCTATCTCACACGTAGAAAGAAACACAAGAGGGGAGGAGGGCGAGAGAGGAAGAAGGGGTGAGGGGAAGACAGACGTCGTAAGGTTCATTAAATGTGTGTGTGGGCCCGCCGGCGCTCGTGGAAAACGGGTCTTTGCTGGCGGCGGCGGGGGGGGGCCACCAGACTACCTAACTACAGTAGATATTTTAGTTGGCCCCGCCGACCTCTTAAGTTCCGACCATTTCCTCCCTGAATCCAGTGTCCGGGAGAGTGTATGGAGTCGAGAAATATTATGGGACGGGAGAAGCGAGTGGGTGGACAGGGTTAAGGAAATGTGTTGGGGGGAATAGAAGGAGGGGAGAGGGTGTTTGGTATGTGTAAATGAGAGGGGTGTTGGTGTGGGTGAGAGGGATATATTTTGCTATTCAGTGTTGCGTCGCACACACACACACACACACACACACACACACACACACACACACACACACACACACACACACACACACACACACACACAGAGTAAAATTCATATTGGTGGAACCATCTTGGTTTTGGCGATAAGCCTTCAGATGCACTGAATGGTCGCTTTTTATCCTGTAAACTGCCAGTCCTGAATCCCTCGGTTAACTTGACCTCTGTATGTATGTGTGTGTGTGTGTGTGTGTCATGCGAACGTGAAAGATTGCATAAAGGTAAAGGTGTATACAGTACTGTATGCGAATATACAGTGAGTATATGTATGTGTGTTTATGCATGTATTTTTGCATGTGGAGTTTTTGTGTTACTTAATGTATGTGCGTTCTGTATTGCATGTAATTATGTACAAGTTATGACTTAAACCATCGTCGTCAAAGCATTAAGTGTCTTGCAGGTGACCTATTCTCGTTGATGTCATTGTGTACAGAGATCTTCCTAAACAAAAACAATTCTTCACAAATATAAATCCCAGTTTCCTTACTATTTCTGCATCTCACTTCATGTCTGAGGGATAAGAAATACCATGTGTTGCAAAAATATACTTTATTGGTACAGCGCCTTACAAGATGCAGAGTTTGACTGGTTGTTAACTGGCTATTAAAGTGTACACGAAGTGGATAATACAACTGGTTCGTTGACTGGTAGTTATTTACAGTCTACTAATAACAGAAGGTGGGTCAGCTTAAGATTTGTTCCCACCCAACGGTTTATTTCATCAGAGGATTAAGCATCCTAATGCAACCTTGGGGGAGGGTAAGGTTCAGTTGGGTTAGGTTAAGTTAGGATAGGGCAGGTTAAGTTTGGTTAGGATAGGTTAGGCTCAGTTGGGTTAGGTTATTTTGAATGAGATAAGGTTAGTTTAAGGCAACTAGGGTAGTTAATCTTCAGGTGAAACAAGCTGGGAGAGGACCGAATCTTCAGGTGATCCACGGAGACAATATCTGATTCTCTGTTGGTACATCATGACTCCAATTTATATGTTTTTTTATATATTAGTGTCACGTCAGAAGAAATTACTGAATAATGCAGTCCACACGAGCGGCGTACATTTGTGTTATTACTGTTGTTGATAAGAGATGATACACCAAGGAAGAATCCAGTTGATATTGTTCAGTGGCACAGCTCGTCTTATGGAGTGATTCAAGCCATATAAAAACACTTACCAGAAATGTAATAATCAGTCGATGCTTTACAGGAGCATCTCGCTGTAAGGTGGCCTACTGTGTGTGTGTAAGGTTAATAACACTTATCACGAGAGATGACACTGACAATTTTTTTACTTGAATGCATCAGTCTGTCTGTTTTGGTAGGGCACATCTGAAAACATCTAAGTTCACTAAGGGTACACATTAGTCTCCCTCAACACAGCTGCCATAGTGTACCAGTGTTCAGGAGTATTGTGGCAAAGGGAACAGGGAATATTCCTATTATAGCTTCTTAAACATTAGAAGGGCACTGACAAGACACACACAGATAGAAATTAAATCACATCTATATGCTTCAGGAGTTACATGATTTTATAATGTAAATAACCACGACACTATATATTCTGGATTCGCTGGACATGATTGGGGGTAATCAAGCAGACATAACGACTGTAATGATTAATATATGGACACTGTTTTCTCCTTAGTAAACAATATAAACAGATCGTTAGGTGTTAATTTTGTTACATAAAAAGGATATCAAGTGTCTGTGATATATATATTCGTCGTTCAAGAAGTATTAATTAATTAGGATTACATATATTTTAGAGTATTATATAAATAAGGTCGCATTATGGCTACACGTGGGTTTGTTTAAGTTTAACTCTACGCCTTCAAAGGAATCTGTACTTTTCTCTGCCTTGCGTAAAGGAGGTGTTTGGTCCCAGATAGAGTTAAACAAGTACAGTTGGCTACAGGAACTACTGGGGAATCTCTGGGCCGGGACAGGAAATGTGTCGTGTCACGTAAAATAACTTATTTTGAAAAAGCTGTCTGGGAAATGATATGACATGTCGGAAAAGCTGACTAATCTTTCCTTAAGCTGCGTCTGTAATCTGGATATATATCATGATACAGTATATGGTAACTTCTCAGTGGTAAACAAAACGGTATAATGGAAGGCGAAAAATTACTCAAATATAAAACATGTGGTTGTTGATGCCATATGTCACAAACAGTTATAAAATTACTTCACTAAATTATATATCTATCACAGTCGAAAACTCTTCCAACTAGGGGGGGTAAGTATTCATGTAACGGGCACCAAGCTGGACATTACCTCGCTCTCCTAACACACACACACACACACACACACACAGACCAATCTTATATAATATAAACAGAAGACGACAGAAAACTATATATAAAAAAGTTAAGACTAGCTTTACATAAAGACTAAACAGTCTATCACATATTGACTCAGTACACCATGTATATAGGGGGACTTTGCAGTAGCCTATCACATTATGTTCACCCACTAACCTGTACCTACACTTTTGTATCATGTAACAATATTGATAACAATGATATAATGATAATAATAATAATAATGATAATAATAATATTGACATGTGTGGTAAACAAAGTATATCTTTTGACTTAGTTCGTGGTTGGTTTTGTTAACAAATGCAGATACTATAACATGTCTATACGGTATACTCATTTTGTAACTTAAAGTATCGAAAAGTAACAAAATTGTCTTATTAAATGCACAAATATATTCCCTAGTCGTTAATGCAGTATCAAGTTATTCAAAGTGCGGTTCACCTGAAGATTAGACACCCTAAATTATTTCACCTGATTAAACACCCTAACGCTACCTGGGGGAGTTAGGTTAGCGTTAAGGTGGTTAATTATCAAGTGAAAAAAAGCTTGGGTGTCTAAGCTCCAGGTGGCCAAACAGTTATACAAATATATTTTTAAAATATTGATAAATAAACATAACTCAGTAAGATAATGACAGTTTCGTGGGCTCTCCTCTTTCCCCAGCTCACGCTACAAGTTGGGTTAATACCTACTGCTCTTCCCCCTTTTAAATGCAAGCCATTATGATTGTCACCCTGATTAAAATTGCCCTAAAGCTCCCCCCCCCCTACCCCACCTCACATACCATGTTTAACAATGGTTGGGTCTAAGCTATGAAAGATTGACGGCCGGACAAACATAAAGACACATCGGACATATTAATGATAACAGAAACATTTAGCTATACTGTACACTAAATTAAGCTACTCAATAGTCATATTCTTTTGTCTCGGGAAGATTTATAGATACTGTATATAACCTGGAATGACACAGGCAGTTCACAGTAACACTAACAGGCAACGTTTACAATACAAGAAATGTAACATTCTAAACTCACATGGAAAGTGACGTCACAAAAATCCTACCAGTTATTAGGATAGCAGCTGGGCGGGTTGATAATGTCTTTAGCAAGTTAACATATTGTAGAATTTCTGGCCATTTTACATCTCCCTTCGTCAGTAAAACCAAACCTTGTTACTTACCAGTTATTAAAGCTGTTTCTCTTCACATAGCACTTTGTAAATGAGGCAATTTTATAGTGGTATTTACTGCTCGGATTTATGTTGCTTTGATGTATGTTTTTGACTGAGCTTGGAGACGTCGCTTGAATATTTCTGTGTTCGCCCTCATTATTAACAACTGCCAACACATTAGATATTCCTTGACCAGCTTCCTGTGTACAGCGCCTTATGCAGCACTATTTGAGCAATAAAAAAGGCTTAATACTTCACTATAACTGGTTAGCATCAATTGTTTTTGTCTCCATAACCTCATGTAAGTGATCATTTGTTATCTGACATGACAGAAATCAACTGGTCACCTTTATGACTTCTCTCAGTGAATATAAATTATAGAATAATCTGGTTCCTGGTTTTCGTTTGATGGTTAGACCTTAAAGTTATAATGGAACCAGACCATTTATACCGAGACAGTACAGAACAGCTGTTTTGAACATATAGAAATATCGTGGTATCAAGTGTTATTTACACCCGTTATATTTATATATATTTTTTGTTCCTACGATAGCTAGCTTCACATTAAATATATTTCTAGAAGAATCATTAGTATACAGCTTATTCATTGTTACTGCTGTACTTAAAGCTCTTCTAATTTATTTAATTATTCTTTCCTAAACAAGGCTTCTTTGAGGCCTATTATAGCGAGGAGGATCTTCTTGCGGTGACCCAACATGTACACCCCCATCAGCTGTAGGTCCCGCTTGGTCAGCCCCAACGCTGCCAGAGGACAGTAGATGCCGTTCTGGTGGAAATTCTCGACGTAGTCCGGCAGACCCAAGGACTCCAGCCACACCTGGATCGTCTCCGGTACGTCATCGGGAATTGGAGGTGGTCTCTTTACCTGTAGAGGTTAAGGTAATGATAGATTACTTGTGTGTGTGTGTCCTAAGTACAGTGTCTCAAGATGTCTGCCAGATCTTCGGAGAGGACAACACACGCTCTAGGATATGTTAACAAATATGTACACTAATTTCAACAATATTTTAGTACTGTAATTAATTTACTTATTGAATAACGTGTTTTTTTTTTTACTTATTCAATGTTGTTTTTATTTTATTATGCAAGGGTTTTATTTATCAGTGCAGGAATATTATTGAACAAGTCTTTACGTATTTCAGAAGAGTTTACGGTTGGCGTCACGTGGAAGAGGAAGAGAAGCTGGAGGTGACGCTAACCATTTGTCACCACTTGGGAGATGACAGCAAGATTAATTCCCTAACTCTTTGATATGTGCTCACGCTTATGGCTTAATAAGGTGAGTAAATGTATATATTTGTCGTATTATTCATTGTTGAAGAACTAAAAGTATAAATATTGATATGTGGATTATGCTTTGTAGTGCCTGAGGTCTCGAGCAACTCCCTCCCTGCCTCGCTAATAAATAAATTTTTATTACATCTACATTACAAATCATTTGGTGATGACGTGTACCAGTAGATTAGTATGTTTAATGTAAATCATTCTTATTGACAACAAAATTTAACCTGACTGGGAGAATTTAGAGTTAAAAAAGATAATTGTAGAGAATTAATAGATTTAAGATCTGGTTTTCCATCTTAAGTTTGTTTCTCTTGTTCATCTGTATCTACACGTCATCATCATCATCAGTTTACCAGCCGATGGATCCACCATTTTCAATTCACACAGCTGCTATGAGTAACTTAGTGATGAAGCCAGATTAATAATTATAGTTTTAGGTAACTTTAATAATTATAGTTTGAGGTAACTAATAATTATAGTTTTAGGAACTTTAATAATTATAGTTTTAGGTAACTTTATTAATTAAAGTTTTAGGTAACTTGCGTTGAGGCTATGTCGAAACTGCATCGACCAAAATAGGCTAGGCTGTTAAGGGTAAGCTTGGACTATAGGCTGTTGGTAGGGGAGTAACTTGGGGTAGAGGCTGCTGGTAGGGGAGTAAGCTTGGGGTTGAGGCTGTTGGTAGGGGATTAAGCTTGGGGTAGAGGCTGTTAGTAGGGGAGTAAGCTTGGATAAGGGGCTATTGATAGGGGAGTAAGCTTGAGGTACAGGCTGTTAGTAGGGGAGTGAGCTTGAGGTAGATGTTAGTAGGGGAGTAAGCTTGAACTAGAGGCTGTTGGTAGGTGAATAAGCTTGGACTAGAGGCTGTTAGTAGGGTGGTAGGTGAGTAACCATGTAGTAGAGGCTGTTGGTGGGGTGGGGGTAAGCTTCAACTAGACGTGAATGAGGTTAAGCTGATAAAATTTCAGCTTACTCCCACAAAGGCCTGGAGTTAAATAAACAAAACAAAACAAAACAAAAACTTGGGTGGAGTGTGGAGGGTGACTCACAAGGTCAAACTCGAACTTGATAGCCATCCTGTGTAAAGGCTCCGTGATGCCCACCCCGGCTAGGTCAAGGGCGTCCATGTGGGCCGCCGTCGCTAGGTCATACCTGTAGGAGGGGGGAGGCTGCGTCAATTACCTGCTCCATCTTTAACATTTCAAACTTCAAGCATCTCTTGTCAGTATTGCATCTCTTGTGTCAGCAATATACTGTCAGCATTACCAGTTAGTTCCAAAAATCAGCATTTACACATCACTGAAGCATTAAGCGTTACATGTCCACTAGACTCATGTTGGTGGGGATGTGACACTAGGCTTAGGTTAGTGTGGGATGTGACACTAGCGTTATGGTGGTAATTATAGGGCAGTGTACAATGGGTTTCACCTGGGGAAAATATTACATTGATAACAGAATCTTTACGTGATACGGAGGAGCTTTATAGAGGAATTATAAGGATATGTACTATAGTATCACTATCCTGTAATATAAAATGATGTACTGTATAGCAGGAAAGACACACACACACACAGAGCAGTATTTACCCATGTCTGTTAAGGAGAGAGTAATACTGAACGAAGCCAATATCAAGGAGAAAGTTGCGGAGGGCCTGGCGGTCCTTGGTGGGTGTGGAAGCGGAGGTAGGGGGCGGGGAGCTACGGGTCTTCACCATGGACGACGGCCGACTCCTGACGCGGGCTAGAAGAGAGTCACGGATACGTCGGAGCTGTGTCGAGTGCTTCCTGGACACAGCCAGCTGCTGCAGGTTGAGGTACTGCTGGAGAAGTTCAATCTCCTCCTCTCCGCCGATGCCGCCCTCGCCTGTCCAGTACTGCTGTAGGGAGGAACACCCCGTCGACCGCGTCCCAACGTGCTGCTGTTTCCTGCCGGGGGACTCCTCACCCCTGATCACGCTGGGGGAGGATAATCTCGAGATTGGGGAGCCTGGGGTCACTGTGGGGTCTTTCCCTTGCTTGCTGGGGCTATGGGAGGATGAGGAGGGAGGTGGCGGGGGGTGGTGGGTGTGGGGTAGGAGGCGGAGTCGTGCCTCCTTCACCTTCCGTCGGAGAGCCTCCAAGGGCATGATTGGGGTACTGAGGCCTCGCTGAAGACGATACCTGCGGGAGACCTTCATACGTTACCTATAATTATGTCTTAGAAGTTGTGAAAGATGTATATCTAAAGTTACACAGAAAATGATGTTTTAAAGGTTATTATTATTATTATTATTATTACTACTACTATTATTACTATTACTATTATTATTATTGTTGCTACAACTATTATTATTATTATTAATCTAATATTGTCATACAGCCAGTGTCGTGACCCATGAAAAACAAATGACTATGGAAGGTGTTGTCCAGCACTACTCCATGTGTGTCATGGAGGGTTGGTTAATAGGGACAAGAACAGTCACAAGTACAGGTAAACATCTGTTACTAAATCCTATACAAAATTATGTTCATGTGAAGATTAGGCATCCCACCTTATATGACCTGATGATTAAACATCCTAACACTGCCTGGTGGGAGTTAGGTTAGAGTAGGCGTAAGGGTGGTGGGTGGGTGGGTTGGTGGTTGGTGTAGGAGAGTGAGGTGGGCCACAGCCATAGCGTGAGGGTGGGTTGGTGGGTTGTGTAGGAGAGTGAGGTGGGGCCGCTCCTCAGCCAACACACTTATATAAGACCTCGTTGCTGAAGCTTTTGTTACACCTCGTGAGGTTTACTGCTCCTCCTCCAACACCCAGCCTCCTCACTCAAGGTCAACCTCACCAAACCTCTATCTTCACGTGCATATGAGGGGAAAATGAGGAAAAAATTTGATAAGAATGAGGTGAACTTAGGTAAAAATGAGGATATTATTGAAGTTATAGCAATAATCCTAGACTAAAAGAATACATGAAATATATTGCAATAATGTATGTGATTTATTAGAAGAATAGTGTGAAAAACTAATTATCCTCATTACAGAATTAAGATTAACTATATTTTAAAGTGCTGTTGTGGTGTCTTGCTGCCGTGAAACTTCCTGTGTATTTTTTACTGTAATTAGTCAAGCCAGTGTGTCTTTTCTTTCCTTCCTGACTTGACTAATAGTGTATTTTACCACTTGAGTGAGTTATTTTTTATTTCAAGTTTGAGTAAAAGCGGCCATTCTGGTTCTCCCCTGTTTTATAATCTGGTGATATGTAAAATTTTTAATACTTCATGGGAACACTATTCTGTTTTTAGAAGCTGTGCGTGTTTTGTTTTTAATTTGGGATGGATTTTAAGTATTTTTTTGTTGGATTTTAATGTAAAGAAAGTGTCAATAATTGTAATATTTCTGTAGAATTTAAATGTAATTGTGAAAATTACTTCAATTGTTATACTTTTGTAGTATTTTAATGTTAAAATAACATCGGTTGGTTAATGTCATCCAGTATTACAGACCGACGAAGTTGAGAAATGCGGAGCCTTGGTGGGTGTGTGAGGTGCACAAGAGGAACCACTTGAAGGAACCTTCTTCACACCCATTCATGAGGTACTGTAGGTGTCTCACTATTGACGTCACGCTTAGTTGTGAAATGTTATATATTTCCGTTATTGTTTTCATTACACAACTGGGTAAGTCTTCCAATGGAAAATGAATGTCAGAGTGGAAAGATAGATAGATCGACAGACAGACAGGCAGATAGATAGACAGACAGACAGACAGACATAACGATAGATAAATAGATATTCAGTAAAATCGTGAATCAAGTTTATATTAATTAAGCATGTACAGTACAAAGTATAGACTTGAACCTTCAGCCAAGTGTGTTTACTGACGTCACGGGCATTCATGACACTTAATAAAGCCGCGTGGTTGTATCGTGATGTATTTATAAGAGTCGGGCCTGACTACTACGAGTGAGGTTGCTGGCTATAGTGTAGACCTTCAAAAGAAACGTAATGTAAGGTAGACGTTGAGTTTTATGTTGTTTATTACTGACGTCACTTATTGTTTGATTGATTGGTGTATGTGTGCGCTCGTGTGTGTGTTTGTGATCAATTAAGGGATCCCAAGGTACATGCAGTATATAACCAGGTACAAAATACTGAAGGTAGCATTGGCTTACTTCATCACAGGTGAAATAACTAACCATGGGGGGGGGGGCTAATCTTCAGGTGAGCCCCACAGACAAAGATACAGTACTTATTATCATTGGGTAGCAAAATAATAAATTTTAATAGTGTTTTTAATTGGCCTTGCTTTAGAATACTGTACAGGTGACATTGTGTGACACGTGGGGGTGAGGTATAGTATATTGTATAACTTATGAACACGGTTGACGAGTACAATGAAGAGAGAGTACAAAAGGGTGAGGCGTGAATAATGAATAGAGATAATTGATGAATGACGTGGACACCAGATGTTATGTTTTGACGATTTTGTTAACTAGGTCATTAAAATATCCTATGATAATATTAATAATAATAAAAAAAAAAAAATTACAATACAGTCATTAATAATAATAGTAATACTGTCCTACTACTACACGAATAATAATAATAATAATAATAATAATAAGTGAATTATGATCATAATAACGAAAATAGTATTAATAAATTTGACGTCAGCATTAGTTTGATAAATGACGTGAAAATACAATAGAACATTAGAAATAGCATAGATTAGTATTAAAAGTCAAGAGAAGTACTAAATTAGTATAGTGGCATTGTTAGTACGGGATAAATTACTAAAAAAAACATGTTAAACTGAGTCGGTGCAGAACAACGGTGCAGGAGAGACAACTTGTGGATATTTACACTTGAAAAATAGTTAGGAAGATTGGTGGTAATGTGTACAAGTCTGCTTCGCCACCAACGCCCTGCCCCTCCTCTTCATCACCTCTCTGCCCCAACCACCCCCTCCCGCTTCTCCACAAACCCCTCACCCCGTCTCTCCACCACAATCCTCTTTCCCCACTTCACCACCAACCCCCACCTCCCCAACCATGGCCCTCCACCCCGTCACCACTCCCTCTGCCGGGGCTTCTCAGAAACACAGAGTGATGGAGGGAGAGACGGACTAGGGGGGATGAGCTCTGTTGAAGGTCGAGGTATTTACGGTTTAAGCTGGGGTGTATACAGCCCCAAAAATCGGCTACAGTTAGTCTGGTGCTTGACTGGACCCCTGGAAAGCGACTCACCCGTGTGAATTTTCCCCCCAAAAAGAAGTTATACATTTGTTATTGTTCGGGTGTCTATTGTGGGACGATGGATGCTTAGTCCTCTATTGTAGTGGTGTCATGTAGAAGGTAGACTGAGAGGATCCTACCCTCACCACCACCTTCACCATCACCACCACCACCATAACCACCACACCTCCTCCACTTGCCCCCACCACCACAAACTATAGCCTACCCTACCATCATTACCACCTACATCTCCCTCTCTCCCTCCCTCTTCCTTCCCACGACTGTTGGCTACATTGCCCCCATCATTATCTCTCCTTCCATCATCCTACCATCACCACCACTTGCCCCCCCATCCTTTTCCCCCCACTCCACTATCCTCCCCTACTTCATTATCCTCTCCCCTACTTCACTTTTTATTTCATCTTCTCCACTTTTCTCTCCTCCTTTTCATTAATTATACCCACTCCGTTTTCCCACTTCACTTTTTTCTTTTTCTTTTTCTTTTTTGTACGGGGAATAGCCCACCCGGGCACAGGTCATCTACCCACAACGGGGCCCAGGGGGCGAAAAAATAAGAGTAAAAATAAATAAAAAATAGAAATGAAAGAGAATATATTAATCTACACCACAAAGATGCCGGAAAATCATCTTTTTAAAGTGAGACAGATTGTATAAGTATGGAAACACAGAAGAAGGCAGAGCATTCCACACTTTGGCTGTGCGAGGAAAGAAGGATGTACTATAACGGGTTATTCTAGTGTGGCCGACTTACACCCATAATTTAGACTCCCAAAACTACGACAAGAACCTCTGATCTAGTCTCTAAGGTACGGCACAAGTCGTGAGTGTGTACCGTACCTCACTCACGACTTACCGTATCCACTTAACTACGGCAATGACTTAGACTTGAACTGTACACGTCAGCTGAGGAACGGGACAGTATGTAACGACGGTTCTCCTGGCAAGCCTAAAGAGCCGTCAGTGTGTGTGTGTGTGTGTGTGTGTATGAGGGGGATATTAGTACGCAATTCCACGCCTTTTGTTTACATGAGGCGTCAGCTGTAAACTAAACACACGGTACCATATTTCTCGTTGTTTGCTCACGCCCTCGACGCTGTTTTGTTTTGTTTGTTGACGTGTATGTGTTTTGTTTCGAATGGTTGTTTCTAACTGTGCATGTGGATTATGTTCGTGTGTGTGTGTGTGTGCGTACTGTATTTGTTTTATTGTCGGCTGGTCTACCTCCTCATGCCGCATTTAGCCACTTCCGCGTGAACCACCCACTTACCCCGCTCTTAACCCCCACCCACCTACCATGCCCCCTACCCCACCACGATCACCACCATCACTTACCCACCTGCCCAGCTCCACCACCTACCCACCCATCTGCCCCGCCCCAACACTTTATACCCACCTACTCACCTCTACCACTCACCTGCCCACCACCCACCTTCTCCACTCCACCTGTTTATCCACTTGCCCTGCCCCACCACCAACCCACCTCGTCCCATCACCAAACCCACCCCATCCCACCACTTACCCACCTGCTGGCGCGGCCCACCAGGGAGAGCAGACGGTTCTGGAGCTTGGCCAGTAGAGAAGCGTCCTCGAAGCAGGCGGCGACGGAGGCGGGAAGGTCAGCCTCGCTCCTCCACCCCACACCCCAGATATTACTGCTGCTGCTGCTGACGGTGCTGCGTCCTCCTCCTACCTTCTCTGTACTTCCTCCTCCTCCACCTCCACTACCTTCTCCTCCTCCTCCTTCTTCGTCTTCTTCTTCAGGTATGCCCTTTAGACATCCTTCATCTTCTTTCTCTTCTTCTTCTTTCCCTTCTTGGTCTTGTTCCACAGGCTGTGAGAGGGTGAGACTGTGTTGGATTATTCTGTGTTGTAAAGTGTAGAGAGAGAGACAGACAGAGAGAGAGACAGACAGAGAGAGAGACAAACAGAGAGAGAGAGAGACAGACAGAGAGACAGACAGAGAGAGGCAGACAGAGAGAGAGACAGACAGAGAGAGAGACAGACAGAGAGAGAGAGAGACAGACAGAGAGAGAGGCAGACAGAGAGAGAGAGAGGCAGACAGAGAGAGAGAGAGTGAGAGGTTAGTGACCCCCTGTGCAGGCAATTCAAGAAACAGCAGCAATAATCAACACACACATTACTCCCTCACCACAAAAATGCAACACCACACAACAGAGTATATACAGTATATTTGGTTAGGTTAGTTAAGTTAGGTTACAGTTGGTGTTATTATTTATAGCTTATATTATTTTTTAATTACATGATAGCTGAAATGGACTAAGGGATATGTCTGATATAATGTTTCCTTTCATTATTAATATATAATAGTTGTAATAATAATAATAATAATAGTAGTAGTAAAATAATAATAATATCAATAGTGAAAGAATGAATAACAATAGTAAAAAATAATAATAGTAAAAATAATTTACAGCAATAATAATAATAATAATAATAATAATAATAATAATAATAATAATAACAATAATAATAATAATAATAACCATTTACAAGGCCTATTGACCAGTGTATGTAATGCATGATGTCAAATTCCAGAAAAGACTCTTAACCCAAGACTCTCTCTCCAGTCTTGGTCATTCATTCTCTTAACTGGTGTAACAGATGTGTGTGTGTGTGTGTGTGTGTGTAAAGAATATTGTTTTTTATATCAAGCAGAGCCGCCATATTGGATGTTAACGCCCTTACTAACTCTCAAAAGTAAAAAAAAATAATATAATATAAAAAACTTCATAAATGAATAAATATATGAATAGAATAAATTATATAAAGTTAATAAATGAAGAATAAAATGGATGAAACATAATAACTGATGAATAGAATAACTGATGAATAAATGCTTAAGACTCGAGAGAAGCAGATAATGGAAGGTCGAACGTTGAGCAAAAAGTGCACCACAAACACTCCGTTTTCTTCAACCTAACAGTCATTACTTGTGTGTGTGTGTGTGTGGTGAGGATCGAAAAAAAGTGCTAAGTAAACTGGGGGGAGAAGATGACGCCATGTTCATGTATGTAAAGATGTCGCACCACTCGTCTTGTTGAACCACCGACGCTGCTGCTTAAGACTTTACACCATTAAGAAAAAAACGGGGAAGAAAATGCCAAGAAAAAAGGGGAGGGAATACAAGAAAAAAAAAAGGAAAACAAAATTGCAAGAAAAAAGAAGGAAACTCACGTCGCAACAAAATTAAAACAAAATAATTGCAATAAAAAAGTGAAAAAGGGGCGAAAAATTGAAGAATAAAAACTAATGCAAAGTGAAATAAAAAAAATACACAAGGTTGCATTACATTCTGAATATAAGAACGTACTAAGACACCTCCTATTGTGATACGGTTGGGCTGTTTTGTGAGGCGAGTGAATAATGGTTAGGGTATTGAAGGTAATCTGTTGTACAAGACACGGTAAGAGGTGAGAGACCTGAGGGGTGAGGGAGAGACTGGAGGAGTGAGGGAGAGACTGGAGGAGTAGTGATGAGACAGACAAGAATAGAGGAAAAGGGAGGGAGGGGTAACCGAGGGAGAACAACACAATGGTAGGTAGATAACAGCTCTCTCTCCCTCTCTCACACAAAGATAGTTTTAAAGAGCGAGAGAAAGTTTTGCGTATGTAGGTGAAGATTGAGAGAGAGAGAGAGAGCCAGACAGCCAACTCGGGTAACGAAACACCCTCGTACAGTAGAGCCAGACGATCATGGATGCACCTCGCCACACCTCACCTTACCTCACCTCATCTCCACTCACCACACCACACCTCGCCTCCTCACTTTGACCTTGATTCACCCCCATCACACCTGACTTCATCTCTCACCACATCACACCTCACCTCCCTTCCCCCACTTCATCACTGCACACCTCACTTCGCCACTATCTCACCCTTCAACCTCGACCTTGACTCACCTTGCGTGCCTGCGGTATGTCCTTACTGGGGGCAGCTCGACACAGATGAGTGGTAGGATCTCCCAACATTAAACCACCAACACCACACAAATTATCCTCCGTTCAAGGCCAGACGTCATTAGGGTCGCTATTTCTGTGCCCAGGAGCCGTGCGTCGTGTCCAGGGGTGTTGGTTTGTTTACATTATCACTCGCCGCTCGCCTCCCTTCCACCAATTATATCCTCGCGCTGGCATCTTCTTGTTTCTGAAGTTTTATATAATTATCTTGCTTCGCTGATTGTTGGTCTTCCTTCCCCTCGCCTCACCGGTTAATTATTGGTAAAAGGTTATTTCTCGCTCCACCAATTATTTCCTTACGGTTGCATGTTCTTGTTTCTGATTGGTGAAGGCTATTTCTGGCCTTCACTGATTGTATTATTGATTATTTTTTTCTGTCACTGAATATTTCCTCCCGCTGACATTTTCTTGTTTCTGATTAGTTAAAGTTATTTATTCCTCCACTGATTATTGGTTAAAGTTATTTCCAGCTCCACCAATCAATTCCTTTCTTTTGTATACGTTTTATTTCCGATTGGTTCAGCTTATTCCCTGTAAATTTCCAGAGATATTTATTATAACTTGTATATAATGATTTATATTCAGAAATGTTCACCATTATTTGTATTTACACAGAATTAGCATCACGTAGTTCGTAAAATTGTCTTATATAAATATGTCATCATGGGATGTTGTCTGATGGTGATTATTTATGCTGTTATGTGATTGATGGCGATTTAACGAGCTGTTTGTAGGATGGGTATGTGTGAGTAATATAACACACACACACACACACACACACACACACACACACACACACACGTAAAGCCGGGCTGGATCTAGTATTACACACACACACACACACACACACACACACACACACACACACACACACACACACACACACACACACACACACACACACACACACACACACGTAAAGCCGGGCTGGATCTAGTATTACACACACACACACACACACAGGCTAGCTACAGATCAATATTTCAACTTGACCTACTACTCCCTGGATGTATACAAGCACTACTAAAGTTTTGTTTCATATACAGTTAGTTTAAGAGTTATAGTGACAGCTGCTGTTTGTGAGAGTAAATACGGGTTTTTTATTTATATTTTAATTTACGGTGATTCGGTTACAGTCACCACTACACTTACAGACGCTAGAATTTGTTGTCGTTGTTGTTGTTGTTGTTGGTGGTGGTGTTGGTGGTGTTGTTGTTGGTGGTGGTGGTGTAGGTGATGATGGTGTTATTGGTGATGATATTGTTATATTTTGTTGTTGTGTTTACAGATTCAGTAAGTGATCTGAATATTTTTCTCACTTTACAGTAATAGTTAAACTTTTGCCAAAAATTTGATTTCGTTTTCTTAGTTTACAATGATACAACAAGACAGGGACGACAATTCAGATTCTGTGTGAGGTTAGGTTGGGAGAGGATAGGTTTAGGTTAGGTTAAGATTAGGAGAGGTTGGGTTAGGTATTATGACAACATAATTATAGCCTGATGCTCTTTTATGTACTAGTATAATTATACAGCGTGTGTGTGTGTGTGTGTCTGTCTGGGTGTGTGTGTGTCTGTCTGGGTGTGTGTAAGTGTCTGTCTGGGTGTTTGAGTGTTGGCCTGTTAGTTAGGCTAGACCCAGCCAGGCTTAGTGTGCGTGCTCGCGCGCCAACATAGTAACTCGGCTACAACACTGCCAGTCGGATAATTTAGGGTTCCTCAGCTTTGGCTGCTCTGGGGTGTAGTCACTCAGACGAGACAAGTTGGCACTGAGCACATGGTGTGTGTGTGTGTGTGTGTGTGTGTGTGTGTGTGTGTGTGTGTGTGTGTGTGTGTTCAGCCTGAACTGTACTCTGTGTCAGTATTATTTCAAACAACACTACTACATCCCCCGCTCCCTTGTGTGCACACGAAGCACTTAACACTACCAGTTTACTTTATGAACAGCACTTGATACTCAAAACATAATACGTGTGCGCATTCGTGCACTCTTAAGGGAATTTTTTTATACATGAATATATTTGTTCATACTTTTAGCCAATAATTTGATAGAGAAATAAGTCCTTGGAGCATCTCTTAATTTTTAGGAATCTTACAGTCTTACTTAGCACTTTATAGGGATCTTATAGCCGTACTTAACACTTTTTAGGGATCTTACAACATCACTTAACACTTTTAGGGATCTTTTATGTTTTAGTACGACTTAACTCCTAAATTAGACTCCATTTTTATCACTATTTAACCCATGAAGTAAGTGTATTTATTATTACTTAACACTTATAAAATGTTTCCCTACTTAAGATAACGGAACACTTTAACGAGGTGGCTGTTTTTTTTAGTATATTATTTAACACTTTTTAAAGTAGCCGCAGTAGACCCAAACACCACTTAGAAGGAATGGATGACCAGAAGTTTAGACACCCTAGCTTATGTCACCTGTAGATTAACCACCTTAACATTATATTGGGTTAGGTTAGGTTAAGTCAGAGTTAGGGTAGGGTAGGGTTTGTTAGATTAGGTCAGCGTTAGGATAGGTTAGATAAGGTAAGGTTAGTATTGGCTAGGTTAAGGTAGTTTACATTGGGTAGGGTTTAAGGTTGGTTAGGTTAGGTTTGGTTACTCTTCGGGTAAAATAAGCTGGGAGGTTTAATCTTTAGGTTATCTAAAGGAATTATCGGGCGAGAAAACGTTAGAAAGTGTTGGTGTTGTGTACTGTTGTCACTGGAGGGAAGGTCTATTGCTGTGCTCCGCTACACCACACTCTTGGCTGCCTTGTGGGTGTTCACTCAACCACAACCACATTATCAATAGCCTGGACACTTGGCGCTCACCACACGTAAACTAGGAGACATGATCCTTACTGAACAAACTTTTCACTGGGCTCCTTAACAATTGTTTTTCACCTCCCCCGACGAGAACACTAGAACACCGAGAGAGAACACGAGGGAGAGGACTATGAGCGTAGCGGCAGGTCGGTGGCACTATGTGAGGGAGGGAGCCTGTGAGTGCCGCCGTGCGTCGCCTTGCTGGCCCGGGCCCCATACTGGGTGCCACTACCACCACCACCACCCCGGCCCCCCACCACACACACACACACACACCCTTCCCCTCCAAGTGTTGCCACATTCACATACCATTTTAACCCTTAGCCAAGACTCGGTACCTCCTCTTTAGTAATAATCATTGCTTATATTAATTTTTTAAATATTTAACCGTTTGTTCAGTATTTTGTATATACAATATTCGTAAATGTTTAATGTTGGGGCGTGAGACATTGTTTCCACGTGTGGGTCCTGGGAAAGATTTTCGTTTTGGTAAGAGAGTCCCAGTTTTGGGTGTCTTAGCAGGAAATATTTCATGTCTGACCAACGTACTTGTAGACTTGGTTATTTTACCCAATACTTGAGAACAATAGAAGGTCATGATAGAACCCCAGCGACATTATAATCACCGTCTGTATGTCATAACATGAGTGAGTCTACACAAATATTAGGTACGTTTGTGTTCTGTTCTAAACTGATGTTAACTGATCTTTTATCTAGTCAGGTTACAGTCTAAATGTAATTATAATGCCATTCTGGACGCTGTTTGTGTGTTTTACCTTGAGTCCATCGGTCATGTGTGTTCCAACAACTCCCAGTTACGAGGAAAATTGAATTGTACGAACACTTGAGAACACACACACACACACACACACACTGATCTGTTGTGTGACGTCAGACAGTTAGAGGAATAGCTAACGTACTGAGATCTTGTGAATCCACGTCAAGCTCCTTCTCTCGTACTGCTGCTGCTCCAGAGTCTATATAAACAACTTAGACTAGCATAGGTTAACCCTTTCAGTCCGGAAGGGTTAAGTCATCGTCTTCAAAGGGTTAAATCATAATCGTTTAAGGGTTAATCAGTCTCCAAATGGCAAAGTCATCGTTGCCAAAGGGTTAAAGCATCGTCGTCAAAGGGTTAAAGCATTGTCGTCAAAGGGTTAAGTCACCATCGTCAAAGGTTTACTGGCGTGTATTGAGAAGTCCAGCCACATAAACTGAGTCTCTTAAAACAGTCTTATGTTACTAAAAAGACTTGACGTAGAGTACAATCTTCTGAGAACTGGGCAGCCGTCTCCTCTTGCTCAAGGGTCAAGATAAACAGTTTTGACTGGCATGGGGATGAACAGTGACTACGTGACGGCCTAACACGGTACAGTATCGTGGCCACACCAGCGTCTTTGGGGCTTCCTGGGAAGATGGGATTGTCTCTGTCCGTCTCAAAAACTTTTTTGTCCAACAAAGAAGTGTTTTTGGTCTTGATGCCGTTAATTGTTCTTTTGGTCTCCTGTTATGAAATACTTTATTGTTTATGTTTAGTTTTGTCTTTAATTAATAAATGCTCAATACTATTTCAACTTGAATTTTATCCTACTGTTATGCCTATTCACGAACTAGTGTCTTAATCGATCCTTCCTCCTCCTGCTCCCCTGGCAGGTTACAAGTTTACTGATGGGTTTTACCACCACCACCTTCGTCAAGATTACTCGATAGGGTGTTCATCTGTTGGTGATTGTGAGAGGGGGAGGGAGAGACTCAGGCTTTGTCTCAGATTGGGTAGTGAATGTTTTCTCAGTGGTCATTTGATATACGAGAACGGTAGATGAGTTTAAAAGACTCAGCTGAGTAGTGTATAGACAGCTTATGTATCTCTCTCTCTCTTTAGGTTAGTTATGTTAAGCTAGGTTAGGATAAGTTAGATTAGGTTAGGATAAGTTAGATTGGGTTAAGTTAGGTTAGGTTAGGTTGGGTTATAAAAGAGAGAAAGAGGAGAACGCCATGTCAGTCTCATTACAATAGGAGAGGAATATAAAATTGCCTTTATTTTATGTGAACTAAAAAGAAAATACTACCATTGTTGTTGTGGTTTATCTTGGTTGAGGGAATAAGGCTGTAGGGAAGCTGTCAGGTTATCATCCCTCAACCTCCATCATTACCTCCCTCTCTCTACCTTCAGGCAAGATGGTGGTAAGCCACCACCACCACCATGGACGAAAACCCCACGAGAGAAACACGGGAGAGTCGATCTTTTAACAGCCCCCCTCAAGATGAAGGCGACTGTGACTCCCACGACCATACAATAATGGTTTTAACAAGCTGGGTTTGTCTACTTCCCTGGCTGGAGGATTATCAGACGTAGCTACAGTACGTAAGTCATTTCTCTCCTCCTTAATCACGTCTTAATTACCTCACCAGGCTTGAAATAAGGTCAAAATGGCTTCCCCAAATCCCTAAGACTCTACCGTACATAGCTCCGTGTCTAATAATCTCAATAATGACGAAAAAAGTATAAAAAGGTACCAAAAAATTAACGTTCGATGGTTTGAGAATTCTACCCTGGCCAACCTGAACTATTTGTCACAATTACTGTTCCTTTTGAAAGTTTTCCCCTTAACGTCTTTTTAATATTTGTGTTAAATGTCTACTGTAGAGGATTTCTTTCTGGCTACGTTTATTATCACTATTGTGTTCGGTTTGACGTCACTTGCATTACGTGTATAGTGTTGCTCTGAGTGGCGGACAGGTAGCGTGTATTGTTGTTTATTTACCTTACCTGTATACTCATTGGCTTTGTGGGAGGTGTTACGAGAGAGTTTGGGTCACGGGATGATTTAGGTGCCCCATGCAGTATATTTTACCTTGAAGATTAACCACCCTAACGCTATATGAGATATGTCATCGTTGGGTTAGCGTTAGATTAGGTTCGGTTTGGTTATCATTAGGTTAAATTAGCGTTAGGTTGGATTACGTTATGTTAATCAGCATTATGTTACAACTTGTGTACATAAAGTAAGGTATAATAATTCGCACTATACCCCATCTAGTACAAAAAGAAAGTTAAAATACGTATTAATTTTACTCACGTCAAGACTTACAACAGCTGGCGAGGTTTTAAAGTGGGACCTCCCGCTGTAAACAATGTGGTGACTGGTGGTGCTGAAGGTGGAGTGGCCGGAGGACTTACTTAGTGGTGTCTTAGTTTACTTTTCCTTAATACAAACATTGGTACGCGTCTCTCTCTCTCTCTCTCTCTCTCTCTCTCTTTTGTTTCAGGTATTTTCTATTATGTTTCTTTTGTTTATCTCTGCTGTGGGTTTTGAATGTGGAAGTAGTATCATCCCAGTGCTTACGGTACATACATACATACGTACATACATACATACGTACATACATACATACGTACATACGTACATACATACATACATACATACATACATACATACATACATACATACATACATACATATTCAGAAACTCAATTGTTCACACACACACACACACACACACACACACACATACACACACACACATCATCGCTAGAGTGTATGTGTGCATTTCCAACGTGACACCACCAGGACAGCGTGTATGTTGATATGAGGAACTCGTAGAAATGTGTTATGTATATTTTCAAGGTGACGACACGAGTAATTTTGTGTATTTCAAGGGTAACGTCACAGGTGTTTAATGTTGGAGTGACACCACGGCATTGTGTATATTTTTGACGGATCACTAACTTGAAGATTAGGCAACCCCAGGTTATTCCCCGTGAGGATTTAAACACACCCTAACACTATTTGGAGAGGTTTAGGTTAGGTTGTGTTAGATTAGGTTAATTAAAATTAAGTTAGGTTAGTGTTAGGGTATTTAATTATTTTGTGAAATAAACTGTGGGGTTGGGTTAGTTTAGGTGAGGTGAAGTGATGGTGATATTATAGGTTAGGTTAGTTTAGGTTTGGTTAGTGGAATAAGCTGGGGGGTTTAATCTTCAGGTGATCCCTTTGAACATTTCACCATACCTGTTACTGGAGCCAAGGTTTATGCACTCTTTGTGTTGCCTATTTCATATCTCGTGTTGTCTCAGCCCTTTCCTATAGTTGTTTACACTAACCTCTCCCTATATTATTTCTCCCAGTCTTCGAGGTGTGTGTGTGTGTTTCAGCAGCAACGCCATTACATTATCAGGTACAGATACAGTACAAATAACGGTACAGATACCTAACAAAATGACAACGGTAACAAACAGGGGCCAGGGAGCGATGTGTGTTATTGTGTCGCATCAATCGTGTAACCTGAGGGAGTTGCGACCCCGCCTTGCCAGTTGTAGTGTACATATCCTGTGGCTGATGTCAACTGGGTCACCACACCTAATGGCTTCATCCCCTGGTCTCTGCTGCATGTGTCTGAACTGTCGACCTGGGCTTGTGATGCTAAACGGTGCATGGGAGAGGTTTTTAGCCAACAGTTGCCAACAGGTGACCCCGGTTAACCCCAGGCAAGCGTGGCAAAATGGCCGGTTTGATGATGATGATGAATCGTGTAATCGCGGTAAGTTAAAGCCGCGTTATTGCTTCACTCGCGGTCACGTTTTGATATTAGTTTCAGTCTTTTTATTTTCACTGTTTTTTCTCTTCCCTTTGTTTACATTTTGTCGCTGTTCATCATGTGGGTGTTGGTGATGGTGGTGTGGGTGGTAGTGGTGTTGGTGATGTTGGTGATGTTGATGTTGGATATGGTGGTGAACACTGCTTGTTGGACATCCTCGTTTATTGCGGACGTCCTCTAGTTCATCATCATTCAGGTGTGTTTCCTGTTTATCTCTCTCTCTCTCTCTCTCTCTCTCTCTCTCTCTCTCTCTCTCTCTCTTCTACAATTTGCTATTTAAGTCTTGCTGATTTTCTCACTTCAAGAGAGATATGGTGGAAATTGAATTAATACTGTGTAATTGACCTCACCCCTCAGGTAGCATTAGGGTGTTTAATCATTAATTGAAATAAGCTGAGAGTGAAAGTGGGAATGCGAGTGATAAGATTTATTAAGAGAGAGAGAGAGTTCGTGGGCTTGGTAACATTTAAAGTGACCTTTTGACTTCGTATCTTGGAAATATCACAGGTTCACATGACGTGAGCGAGAGAGGGAGACACACACACACACAGACACACACACACACACACCTTAAAGAGGAGTACGTACCCAATGTAAACTTTTTGCTTGTGCCTCCT